ATCCCCAAAGTCGGTTTCATTTTTAAATAATAAACCCCCTGTAATAATACAAAATAAATTTTTTTGGAAAACCCTTTATTTTTTTGAGCTTTCTTATCAAAGTGCAAAAACTACTCAGAAAATTGCTTGAAATTTTTCAAAATTTTTAAGATATCCGAATCGAACTTTTTTTATTAGTTGCCGATACGATTTATAACAAAACTAGGAAAAAATATTAAAATTTTCCCAGCACATGCGCAGTATAAAATAATTACTTTCACTACTCATACCTTGCGCAGTTTTAAACAAATTTTTCTTTAAATTTTAAAGCAATCATTTTGTAATTATGTTAAATTACTCCAGAAATTTTGTTTGATTTTTTTTAAATATTTTTTACATTATAGCAAAAAAAACGTAAGACAAAAAAAATTTAAAAAAATGTTCATTTCTTTATAAATATTTAAGCTAGGTTTACGAAATTTTGTGCCATTATTGCTTATAATAACCAAAATAATTGTTACAAGTTACAAATTTATTGCTTCATTTTCTGGTATAGGGTGTTCAAAAACACTGTGTTCCGTTTATAATTTATTATCGGTGTCTCAAACCTCTAAAAAGCTATTAACTTCATTGATAAGTGTGAGAAATCGCTTGATCTAAATAATTCTGAAGTTTTAAAATGATTCACAAGGTATTTTTTGATAAATATAAAATATATATATTAGTATATGAGCTATTATTCCATTATTTTCGATTCGATCAAAACTGTCGTACGTTTAAAATTAGATTTCTGTGGACAAATTTCATATTTTGAAATATAAAATTACATCTTTTAAGATGGAAAAATTTATGTAACTTTAAATTCAAAATTGTATCGTTTATTTCTGTTGTTGTTGTCGTCTGCTACCTAGGCCGAGGGGGTGCGATTGTTCTTGTTTTCCAGTGGCGCCATTTATGAACAAGAATTCAACTTCTGCCACACCCATTTTATAGGGAGGACCCATTCACGCATCCACAGATCGTTATTTTGACCTGAATCAGAGAACGATCAATCTCCATTTCAGTACCCACAAAGGTTTAATTTGCTATCGGAACATGGAGGACTTTGTGATCCGACAAGTTTAACGCGCACCGGTCACCGTTTACTTGACACGAATCCAGCGCCCTGCCAACCGGGATATCCCTTGATGAAATAATAAATAAAAACTATTTTTTGCAGGAAATAATTTTTGCATAAGGGAATTTTATAATTGTGGGTAAAACTTTTTTAATTCGTTTTAAAAGTTCTTGAGATAAGGTGAAATACGCAAAAAGTATAATTAACATCAAGGAGTCCAAACTTTAACAGGTCTCCTGATCAAACTATTGAGATCACATGTATCAATTCAAATTTATAGAAAAATTACAGTATGTTTATTTAGAGAAAGTACGTTTTTGTGTCTGATTTCGTAATTTAAAGTATCGTCTGCACTAATTAATTAGCATATTTGAAGTTGCCATCATTAACCATTAAGATTGAGTTCTATTATGTGAAAATGCGATCACTAGTTCAAAAGTTATTCAGGGTGTATCTTTTTTGGCGCACTATGCATTTTTCATGATCAATTAGTAAAAAAAAATGTACACAATTTTTATGCAAAAAAGTACGGATTGCGAATTCCAGATTAACTTATAACTTTTGGCTTCAAAGCATGCTTATAGTAAGGGCCCCATTAACTTCTGAAGTTAGGGGGTGCTCAGACTAGTTTCGGGGCCTGCTTTTTTTGTTTAGGAAAACTTAATTCTATGCACATGGAACTTAATAATTCAAATATTTTTTCCAAAAGTGACTCAGAAGCATAAATATCCCCCCCTCTCCCTATTATGACATATTTAAAATTATATAAACATTATATTCAGAGAGGATGGGTGTGAATACTTCTTTTTGATCCCCTCGATCCTGGTAACCAATATCATCATTTGTAATAAAATATCTCACAGATATAAATAAATTGAGTAAGATTCAATGTAGATCTTTTAAATATTTAGAGAAAATTATTACTTATGGTCATATTATTTTATAACCGTTGTTGAACAGTCGACCCAATTTTGGGTATACGACTACTAATGTTCAATTCCCTAGCCTTGTAGTTTTGAACTCAATCCAGGAGACAAGGGAACTCCTGGATCAATTATTGGGATAAATTTGCCTTCGTGGAGGACTTTTTGATGGAACTCACCCGCATTTCCGTTACATGGAGAGAAAAACCACAAAAACCTCCCACGGTTAGCCTGACGTCAATTGGATTCTAGTCCAAAATCCGCCTACCACTGAGGATATTTTACGTCAGCATTGTAATCGGTGTTAACCGGATGCGGAATTCGCATCAATCAACCATCGCTGGGATTCGAACCCGGTTCACATCATTGAAAGGCGAACGCTCTATCCCCCGAGCCACCATGGCTCACTTATCGTCATTTTATTTTACAACCGTCGTTGAACAGCTGATACAATTTAGGGTTTACGACTATCAATGCTTAACTCCGTAACCTTGAAACCAATCCAGAAGACAAGGGAACTCCTGGCTCATGTATTGTGCGAAATTTTCTTTCGAGGACTTTTTGATGGAACTAATCCGCATTTCCGTTTTATGGAGAGGAAAACCTTCCACGGTGAGCCTGACGGCAATGGGACTCTAACCCATGATCCGTCTACCACGGAGGATATTTTTACGTCAGCACTGTGGTCGGCGCGAGCCGGGTGCAGAATTCGTATTGACCAGTCATCGCTGGGATTCGAACCCGGTTCATCTCATTGGAAGGACGGCTCTCCCTTATGGTCAGTGTTACTTTTCATGATCAAACAGAAAATAAAATTCTAATTTATCATATTCAAAATGTAAAGACAGAAACTACATACTTCTTTAAACCCACATCATTCATCTGTTTTTACTCAATTCTTATTAGTTCGCACTCTCCCTATATATATCTTGTTCAAATTTTCAATCGTTAATAAAATACTTTTTATTTATTCACTCAAGTTAAATTACCTTTTTTTAAACTTATTGTGTATGGCACTTGATATTAATAGTTTTTTCAAATATTAATTGAATTTAATTCATTTTAGTTTCATAAGGGAGAGTAAAATTCCTTTTACGTAGATATTTAGCAGGATATAAATTTAGGAATAAATATCGTCAGTGGCGGAGCGTGTTGATCGCTGAAAATTTTTTTTTTCTTTCTTTGTTGATCTAAGTAGGAATTGACTTTTAATTTTTTTTTAAATATTACTTGTTTGTCAGAAAAAAAGAGGGAGTGCATTCAATCTTAAATCGTTTGATTGGCTTAAATTAGTTGTCAAGCAAGGCAGATGTGTCTTCTTTTTTAGTATTTATTAAAGCATTTAGAATTCCTCTCCATGTGTGGCAAAAATTTCCCTCTGTTGAGGGATCTATTTATTCTTCCTTTTTTCTCTCGTCAATTTAAAATGACGGTGAAATGGATTAATCATATTCGGAAAATGTTTTTTTTTTCAAAGAGATTTTCTTAACTGGTTAAATTGAAGCTAAATAAATATATCTAAAGAGAACTCAGGGCAGGGGGACAACCCATGGTTTTTTGGGTTTGTTCCTCACCAAAGATCCTATTGTTTCTGGCCAGTGAAGGGGTTACTTTTAATAAAAGGACCCCTCTTGTAATAGGAGATGAAGACACCAAACCCAAATAAGGAGGTAAAATGTTTGGCATTCTCTTCTAGCATAGGATGTAGGAAGATAAGATAGAGCATCTGGAATAAGTCAATAACGGCAATTCGGGCTATTATTGTGTGAAATATGAACATTTGACTTCTAAACATAGCATACTCACAATAATACTGAAATTTTTTATGAAATTTGATACTTAGCGGTTGATATTTATTCCCCCTACCCAAATTTCTCGATACATTAAAAAACCGAAAACGTGCTGCTGTTTTGGCAGTTCAAAAGGACGTTAAATTTTATTTTGATGCGCAAAAGCTCTAAGACTTAGAAACTTGAACTCACGAAGATGTGTAGAAAAATGTACCGGGAATGCAATGGAATAAAAAAAAATTCAATAGTCAATAATTAGTTATAGATGTGTAGGAAAAATATCATGCAAGTCGCAAGAATGTAACAACAAAGTAGGGATCCTGAAGTTGTGCAGAAAAAGGAACAAGATAGAATAATAAAAAAATTCCAACATTTGACTTTTTCGAAAATAATTAACTGTAAAAAACATACCCTTTGGGATGATTTACTTCCTGCTGAAATTCAATTACACTGTTGAAATTTTACATGTCGAAAGAGCAATCTTTTTTAATAAATTGAACATGTTTTTTTTTTTTTTTAATTTCAATTTTCTCAAAAGTTATTGCATGTATAGATGCTTTTTTCTTTTGCGTTACATTACATCATTACATTTTGTTTTGCTGCGAAAAATCTGTAAAACTTAAAAGATCTATGAGATAAATGGAATAAAAAAAATTTAATAATTATTAACTATCAAAGTTTTAGTAACAAAAAAAAAAAAAAGCATTGCCTGATTTATTGCCCTCTAAAATGCAACTACAGACTTGAAATTCGATGTGCTGAAAGGGCCATTTCCTATTATCAACTTAACGTGAGTTATTTTCAAAAATTAATGTGATTCAAGTGTTCTCAATTTTTTTTTTAATAGCGATTATTTATCCAACGTTGTCAAAAAATTTCTCTCTAGAGATCTTCATTTTATAAGCTCGCATGCACTTTAATCCAAGTATTTGTTGTTTATTTTGTTATGATCAACAAAATATTCTTATAAAAAAAAAACTATAATACTTATATATATTATTAACAAAGCTATCAAAATATAGATTTCTAAGGGGGGGGGGAAGATGAGTAGTGCCTTCTAGTTTATTATAAGATTTGGAACTTACTCAATCGTACTGATTCAGTCGAGAAATAGATAAAAACAAGCACTTTTAAAAACGCTACGCATCATGAAAATACACTATCAAAACAACAGACTTTAAAAAGAAACAATTATAAGAAAATTGTTTTATTATACACAAATGACATGGCTAAGAATAAAATCCAATATTTATATGAAGTGCTTCACAGTTGACGAATTTCAACAAAAACTCTGAACTGGTCAGTTCTTAAATAAAAATTTAACATATAAAAGCTGGTAACAATTCACTGAGATACCTAACGTAACAAATAACTTTTGAGTTCAACATAAACATCTAAAAAAAATGTTGTTCTGAGATGACAAATTATCCACCACAAAAATGTTGCAAAAATTTCTAATTTAAAGGGTGTTACAAAATATTCTGAAGTATGATATTTGTTCTCTAGATCTAAATACTAATTTATCTGAGTACTAAACAAAAGTACAAACATTGCACTCATACACATTAATACAACACAGTAAAAATTGCAAAGGTGATTTGTAGAGGAATGTAGTAGCACAAAATTGTGATTAAAATAATCATACAACAGTTGCAAAGGAAGTACATTAATGCAAATAATAAAGTGTTACAAATGACCTCACTTAAAGTTAAAAAGAAAAAAAAAGTTAGCAAATTAACACTGATTATATACCTCAAATGTGTTTGTTTACTTGTATATAAGTTTGTCAATATTTTGGGAAAAATTGTGCATTTGTTATTCTTTGTCTTTGGAATGGAAGAAATCAGTTCTTTGTTAGAAGCAAAGTTCAGTAGCACTTTGAAAGTTCAGAAAAAAACTGGTTCCAAACCTTAGAGAACATCACTTTTTTTCTTGAAAAAAGAAAGGACCACAAAAAAATGTATGGCTTTCTGGAACCACAAGAAATTTGACTTTTATATCAATTGATAATAATTTAATAATTCCTGCAAATAATATTGACAATATCAATTGAAAGACTAGGTGTATACATATATATAATATTTCTGAATTAAACACATTTGAAATTTTGTTTTCTATAATAAATATAAATCATCGCAGGATTTCAACTTTCCCTACACAATTCATTTGATTATTTCTTACTGAACATAAATTATTCACACTTTTAATTACGAAAATGCACTAATAAAAGTACATATTTTTATATGTATTAAAATTAATGAATATTTATCACAAAATGTTAACAACAAAATTAATTTACAAGCAACAGAAATTTCAAAGGCAGCAAGGCAAATTATTTAGTTTACTGCAATAGGTAGAGTCAGAAATAAGAATGTATTAGAGCTATATTGCAATTATGGAAAATTTATCATTTAGTTATGAATTAATTCCGCTAGGTTTCAAGATATTTATAAGCAGTCTATGAATATTCATTAAATTTAAAAAAAAAATCTTTAATCAAAAGAACAGAATTAGCACAGCATATGATAGCATTATTATTCCCATTAGCATCGTATTCTAATGATTAATTATAAAGGGATAAAAAAAAGAGCACTTTTTAAGTTCTACTACAATTTAACTTACAAAGGCCAGTCAATTATGATATAATTGAAAATTATAAAAAACATTTATAATGAATAGCATTATGGTACAACCAAATTAATATAAAGATTGCTGACTAGCTATATAAGGAAATGGTCTTACATTAATGAATAAAGTGTACAAACTGAATTATCTCATTGATAGTATAATTAAAAATGCATTGGTTTGATTTGTACACTAAATACATAAAGATAATACAGTCTAGTTTTGATTTTCAATATAATAAATAAATTCAATGAAATGAACCTAAAACTTTAACTTTGAAATCCTTTACAATAAAATAGTTTTTGGTAATGTAAACATTATTTTTTTTATTATTATTAATAAAGAAAGAAACAGCTAAGTAAGAAAGAATATAGTAACTATTAGAAAATGAGGGGTTCATTATAAAAGAAAAATATTTAAAAAATGAAGTTTTCTTTTTTATCTTCTCTGTTTCTTCATAAGAAAAAAAAAATTTAAAATAGATTAACACATTGGTTGATATGTGTAGCGATGAATTAATTGCCATTTTAAGATAAAATTCATTGGTTACATTTAGTTCAGTCAATTAAAATTTCTATTTAAAGTACATAAATAGAAAAGTTTATTTAGCATGTGAGGTCATCCATGCAACACAACAAAATAATTTAATTATTCCAACTTTACAATTTAAAGAATGTTTCACAATATAAGTGTTCTTTCTTATTTACATATGTAAAGAGCTCTTCATCTCCTTTCTCTGTTATATCTTCGATCAGGTCTATTTGGCACACGTGCAGTTCGACGTAAAAAGTCATCTACAGATCTTTCATACTAAAGAAAAAGAAAATACTTCATTTTAGTAAAACTTACTTACATTATTCTATATTTTTTTTATGCACATCGGAGTTTTTTGGCGCTTCAGTTTAAATCAATAGCTGCAAAAATATTATGCGAGACACGTAAAAATCTCGGAGGGGGGACTTTTTTTGGTTGAATAGACATCTCGGCATTCTGAAGTGGGGTTTATTGCAGTATGAAAAATAATTTTACACAGTCCTGGATTGAGTTTTTTTTGTGAGAATATGAAAAAAAGTGGAGAAAATAGAAAACACAAAAAAGTACCAATACTCAAATAAGTACTATAAGAACCATTCAAATTTGATACAATACTAAGAAAATCAAAATTTCAAAAATTAGGTAAAAAATACCTATTTACACAATATCCATTTCAATTTTAAATTCTATACAACCAATATTATTATGTATTATTTTAAATGGAATTTATGATAAAATAAATTATGTATAATTATATTATTTTTAGTTTAATGTTTATTATATTTTATTAAGTCCTAAATAACTGCAAAAGATTGACTTATTTGTGTTCACAGGCTTAATTCTGATTACAAAATATTTTCTGTTTAAAATATTACTTTTAAGATCTCTCTAAGCTGATTAATTTTTTGTTATAATTTGTTTCTTTGAATATCATTGAAATTTTTTTTTTTTTTTGATTTTAGATATCAATTTTGTTTTTATTACCCGAAATAAAGAAATAAAACAATTATTAAAGAAATGCATAACATAACTAGAATAAGATTGCAATTAACAACAGCTAAAAAATTTTCTTTTAAGATTTGATATTTCTTTTTAAAAGGCATTCTATCATTTGAGATGGAAAAAACCTTTTCTTTCAAGGTGATTTTTACAGTGCTTTTTCCACTTATGAATTTGACATTTTGTTTGCATCCTAGCAATTGCTTTATAATACTCAACTGTAGGAAGAATAACAATCAGGTTTTTATAATAACTAAAATTACAGAATTGTAAACTTATCTTAAAAATTAATAAAACAAGAAAGATTTTTTAAAACTAATTGCTTTATAATATTCAATTCTAGGAAGATTAACAATCAAATTTTATGAAAACTCTAGAAAGAATTTTAAATTATGCAATAATGAATATTAGTGAATGATTAAGTTTGTCAGATACTCACAGCTCGTTTATCCAAAGGACGTGCTCCTCTCGGAGCAGAGAAATCTTGATGCATGGAGCGTTCATAATACGCTGATTGATCCATGGGAAAGGGAGGTTGAGGAAAATTATGCTGAAAAAGAAGATAAGAACACATATAAACCTAAAGCATAACAAGCTTGAATCATATAAAAAGAGAAATCGAAAGAAATTACTTACTTGTGCACCAAATGGCATGTTAGGCATAGCATTTCTTTGAGAATGATAGTCCCTTATGTAATCATTGTAATTCTAGAGAAGAAAAAAAGAAATGTAACCATACGTCAGTAATTATTTAGTATTTTAATGTAAGGTGAAACCAATTTTAAAGGTTCAAATATAACAGCTTAAAAAAGTTTGGAGAAGTATTGAGGCCAACACTCTGATCTATAATTAACTCTGCCATCATAGATTCAAAATGTAACAAGTATAAGACAAGATAGACTGACTGCATATCAATTACTAAATAACTTGAGAGAAAATATAAAAACATTTTATCTTTTTAACAGCTTGCAATTTTTCTAGATAAATATTACACAAATTTTAAGACAAAATTTGTTTAAAAAGCACTATTCTAAAAAAATGAAATCATTGACGATAACTGATTCACCCACATATTTTGAGTATAGATTGTCAGAGGCGCCAACTTCCCAAACCAGATATCAGTAATCAGAAGTACAATAACACAAAATATTATCCAGTTAAGGTTTACGAAATTCAAAGTAGTCCAATTTTTAGGTGAGCGGACTACTTAATTCTGTATAGGTATAAATAATTAATAAAATTATGCTCGAATTTACAATTAAATTAGTTTATAATTGATTTATTCAATAACAATTAAATGAAAAAAGTTTACAATTAAATGAAAAAAGTACAACACTCTATTAAATTAAATTAATTATTTGAAATTAATGTTCCAGTTTTTGGCTAAATAAAAACTAGCTTTCATTGACATATCCATCTTGCATTCGAACAACGGAAAAATGTTTGCTTATGGAATTTCAGATTTGAGTTGATGGTTTTTTACTTTACTATCAGGAGAGATAAGATTAAATTTCAGAACAGCTTATTGAATAGGTGAAAGATAAGACATCTTTGCTCTTTCTTATTTCTTATTCTAAAAATTTGTTAAACAATTTAATAAGAAAATTAACACACACATATATATATATATATAATTTTTATTAATCAAATGAGAGACTGTAGTCTTGACTATGAAATTGTAATATTGACGGATAAATTCATAGTTGGCATTGTTGGATTATGATAAGCCCATTAAGCAACAAATTTTTGAAAACCTACATATCAAACATACAGTTATATTAAAATTCTTTTTTGCTAAGCCTTACAAAACATTAAGATTTTGAAAATTTTAATTCAAATTATTAGTCTTGATAGTTTATTTAAATAATATGCCCTGCCGTAAAATTAAACTACTGTTATACACATCATTGTGAAGTATGCATGGGGCATACTTAAGAAATAAACGTATTTGCTAACAATAAATTTTCAAATTAGTATAAGCCTTTTACTTAAAATAGGGAAGTTTAAGTTCTTAGCAATTCGAACATATAATTCAAGTTTAACTTACTCCATTTTGAACATTGCTCCTGTTTCTCATATTAAAGCGATCTGACGGTGATCTATAAATAAAAGAACATATAAAATTAAGTAAAAAGAAAAAATGAAGAAATATTCCAATTTTATAACATAAAAACAATTTTATTACCTATCTCTTCCTGGGCCTGATTTATAGTAACCTAAAAAAGGAGTTCAAAAATAAAATTTAGAAATTTGAATGTCAAAATACAACTTTACAAAAACAGACAGGAAAATACACCTTGGGAGTAAAATAATGGTGAATAAATGGTGATAATGGTAAAATAATGGAAAATTATACTAGATAAAGACACAATGGTCTGATATAGCTCGATTATACTCCCACTGGCATCTTGAAGTCCACCCAGCTTAAGATTGATGAAAGTTAGCTTGGGAAGTAAATGCAACTGGTGCAGAATGCTTACCACATTGTCACTATTAATTATGCATGCCAACTTCTCCAGTTCTTACAGGAGATTTTTCTTGGACATTTAAAGTAGTAATACAATTTATGCTTTATCAATTCATTTTTGATTTGATGAATGTGATTTACAATGATTTTGTAATCTGATGATCACAAAGGAGTTTTTAAGTTACAAAGCTAAATAAAGCTTCCCTTAATTTTTATTCCTCACCCTTTTTAAAATAATTGTGAGGAGATAAATTATTTTGGTTTTCAGTCATGCACTATCATGTGACTGGTCTGTAAATTGTATTAAATAAAGATAATAACATAAGATAGCAAATTAGACAAGAAGCAAATAGAATCGAGACTCAATTTTCAAGTTAAAATATTAACCCTATTATCAATTGATTACCCAGTAGAAAAACCTATGAAAGCAACCAGGTCCTGCAGCTGGACTAAACTTTGTGAGATAGTATTTTGCAACCTAAGTATTAAAATTTAATCAGATAAATCTAATATAGTTTTAAGTTGGGTGCCATTTTGCACACAAAACCTTACCTTTTTTTTTCAAACTTAGAAAAAAACAACTAGCCTTTTAAATTATGAAAAACCCAAACATATCCAAAATACTTTTTTAATATTCAATTGTAATAATTTTTTAAACAATCTTTACGTAAGTACGAAACTATATTTTAGAGTTTCTTCAATGTTAGAACAAACGACCACTTTTTTTTAATACAAGAAAGAATTCAGCCATAAATTCTAGGCTTTAAAATAATTTTGTTAAAAAGTTTTGTTGAAATTCATTTTTTTAACTATAATTATAAATAGTACATCATAAGGGTTTCCACAAGTAGAAGAAACAGTTTGCTATTAGTTTATTTCTTCCAGTCTTTTTCTCCTTTATATTTAAAATTTACTGAGATAAATACGAAAAAGCAGCATTTACTAAACAAAAAGAAATTAGGATAGATAAGTATGTTATAACTTTTTGTAACAATCCATAAATGGGTAGAATTTTCAAGGGGGTTCATAAACAGGGTTCCCACTCTATGATGAGATTGAAATTCAAGGACTTTCCAGGACTTTTCAAGGACCTCAACAAAATTTTCAAGGACCTTAATCTAATACCAATTTTAAAAATTATTCTCTTCTATTTTACTAGAAGCAACAATGCTTGTTGTGGCAATAATTAATTTCAAATATAATACCTAAATGCTTTGCCTATATAGAGAGAAGAGAGTATATAGACAAAATATATNAGACGTTTTTCAAGCACTTTCAAGGACCTAAATTTAGCAAAAAAAAATTCAAGGACTTTCAAGGACTCTCAAGGACCGTGGGAACCCTGATAAAGTATTAGAGTAGCGGTTCTCAATTTTTCTAACTAAGGAACCATAAATGAATGACCTTCTTTAAGCATGACCCTAAGACTTAGAAGAAACTTCATTAGCAATTGTGAAATATATTAAGCAAAAGACGATCAATTATTTAAAAAATATTTAATAAATTAAAAATTAATTATTTTGAAAATATATAATGAATGATGAATAAAAGTCTTTCATTTTGTGGTTTTAACATGTCTTAAAATTGGTTTTTATGTTATGACAGCTTTATTTACAGGTCTAGAGTGGCATCTATAATTCATATTTTGATTTCATTGCATGTAAAGATTGAAAATGAATGAGCTGAAATGCAGTTTTTGTTTGAACAAAAATGAAAAAGAACGAAAATAAACCTTCAGAATAGTTATCAGCTCAATATTAAATAACTAATGGAAAATTAATTGGATATAATTTTGTTACAGGGCTTTGTAACTGATAATGTTGTCTTAATTCCCGGAACCCCAGTGACCCTTCCACAGAACCAAAGGGTAACATGGGACACCACTTGAGAACTGCTGTATTTTAATGCCCAGAAACTGATCAACGCAAGTCATTATTTTCTTTAAAGAAAAAAACTGCCTATAAATAGACTCGAGTCTGCGCATCTAAAATTACTAATTAGTATTTTGTAACTTTAACAAGAGTAAGAGTGTATTATACTCAGAACAAAAACAAAGCAGAAAAGAAAATTCCTTCGCTGTAATAGTATTGATGTTGTTCATATCTAAATTTGAAGAATCTGAGTCAGTTGCAACAAAATAAATGCTTGAACAGAAATGTGTGAATGCAACAGAACATGTGTGAGTGAGTGAGCAATGATCAGATGAATATCAACAAAGAAGCTGGAACTAGATAGAATAGATGCTTGAAATTAATTTACATTGTTGAGTAAGACCTTTGAAAAGTACTGATTTATTACAACTTTTACTGACTTATTATTAAGTGTGAATGGTGCTAAATATCTTTTAACTTGCTAAGTATTTAAAGTTGCACAAAATAGCACCAATGTTTTGGCAGTTTAGTGCTACTTAATAGATGAGATATTAAAATAACAATTATTCACTTAACACAACTTTATATTGCTTTGAAACTTAGCAAGTTTTTACGGGAAACACTTAAAAGATAATTACCAAGTTTTAATTTGTTGTAATTAACCACAAAAAATAAATAAAAATTTTCTTTTAAAATACACAGCATTAAAAATCACGAGATAATCAAAATTCTTTTAGACATAAAACCTTCATTATAATCTTGGCGACTTCTTTTATTGGGTCTTGCTTCAAATGCATCTGGCCTTCGACGTCTCCTTCTAAATTTAAATAAAAAAAATATACAATTCCTTTTTAATGATCATTGAAAAAAGTATAAAAACACATTTAAATAATATTTGCAATGCTGACAATGTATTTCCATGGTAGAAACTTTTCTATTAAAATATTTATTTATAGTTAAAGAAAACATTGAAATGTGTCGTGAAAACAGAAGTTTTTAAAATTCATTGTAAGCAAAAAGAGAAACCTTAGAAAGCTACATCTTCTAATTATATTTCCTCATGAGTATTTCTAGTCATCGTTTTAGGCATAAAATGATGCTAGAATTAGCTATTGCTTGCATATCAAAACTGTTAACTTTTTGATTCATACACTGAAACATAAGTTTTCTTACCTGCACTGTAAGATCAAAAAACAAGTGTAAAAGCATAGAGTTAACAGTTGAACACCTTCAATAATTAGATGAATAAACAGTGAATAATGCAAATATCAAACCAAGATATCAAACAAAGAAAAATTGAAGACTGAAATTAAATTTAGAACCAGTTTTAGCAAAGTTATAAATTTTCAGTCTTATTTTTCTTGTGTGCATAAATTGCATACTGCATATTTTATAATTCCTAAGATCTATTTTTCGATTTTTAATTTCCTAAATTGGCTTTTTTTCCCCAAGGGTTTAAGTAAAAAATTTTAATCCTCCAGAGTATTTGCCAGATTTTTTTTAAGCTTATTTGAAATCCCCAGAACTTTTAGGTTATTAAGGTTCTCCTTGACACATATGAACACAGATTCAGTATTCTCTGCAGCAGCCCAAAGCAGATACTATCTGCCTGAAATTAGTGAGACATGCAAATCCTCTACCACAGCAATGCATAGTCTTGGGGTAAAGATAGCAGCAAACATCTCAACTCTCAACACATATTACTGGCATCATTCCTAGATGGCAGACTTCTACAATACTTGCCTACAAAACGTTGAGCCCACTGAAGTATAGAAATTTAGGCGGTTCTTATGTAGAGAAATATAGCGGTATCTTTAGCAATAACTTTGATAGTTTTAGCACTTTAGAAAAAAATTTTCCAAGAACTTTTAAAATTATGATTTATTTGAGGAGTTTTAATATTTAGGATAAGTTAAATCAGTACAGAAATGTCAGCATTGCAAAAGAAATTATCTTTAAGAGTTATAAGCTTATGTTAAAAAAAATAAAAACAGCCAATATGCCACGTTTATAAATGTATTTAAGAATGGAAGAAATTTAAATAATCTGCTTTAGATTTATAAAAATTAAAAAGTTTAATCATAAAATAAAAATAACCACTAAAATTTAATTTAAAAATAAATTTGGCACTCACAAATAACACAGAATAATAACTAAATTATCTATATAATCAAGCTTCAGAATACCTTTATGGACCAACATAGCATTTCATTCTTTCACATGTGCATGAAATATAAGTACCTCTTAACTTTAATAATATATGCCCAATGTACAAAAAGTCGGCATTCTGTGGAATGAATAATGACAAACAAGTAAAGTATGAAAAAAATTAATTACATTTCCTAGGCATTCTACAGAATTACAAATGAAAAGCCCATAAAGTATGAAACAAATTCTATTTAACACATTGCCTGGCATACTATAGAATAACTAAGGAAAAACCTTTAAGCATTCAATGAAATGTAATGAAAAATCTAACGGCACAGCTACCAACATGGATAGAAAAGAAGAAAAAAAATCCAGTATATTTTATAAAATAACATAAATTTCATAGCTGTTGTATATACAAATATCCTAAATATTTTACGTTTAGGAAAATTTAGGGATTTTTTATTGTCATCAAAATACAAAACTTTATTACACTAATAACTATAAATGCTCTGCTACATTTTCCATTTATGATTGATATTAAATGAACTAGAAATGTTTTCAGGTAAACTCATAATTTTTAAAAATAATAGACAAGTAATTTATCATTAATAACTGAGAATTTTTTTAAATTAATTTACAAAGGGTGATTAAGTTTAAATTGAAAACTATAAATGAGGTTCACTCCATTATGCATTAGCAGGGGTCTGTCTAGGTTTTTTTAAGACAAGAGTTATCTATTTTGTGAAAATTTAGATATAATTTGGGGAAATAAAAAATTATATTAAAAATTCAACAAAAAAATATAGATTTATCATTTCTTACAAAAATTGAAATTTTAAGAGAAAGTATTTTGTGAAACTACCGTTTTTTCTTAAGTGGAATTTGTGAAGGTACCGCTAAATGGTAGTAAATCTGGCCTGGGACAGACCCCTGATTAGTAATACTCAAACATTCAAGAAAGCAAAAAATTGAGTAAAAACTCTATTTCAATAGGGATTTTTTAAGGGAATTTATTCAATTTTAGGGAATTTTTTAAAATGTGCAAAGTACAAAATTTTTCATTAACCAGTAGAGTTGGCAACTATGTAACAGAATACCTAAAGAATGACTAGGTTCAGTACGTAACAATTTTCACAATTCATCTTTTGCCTACAGAACATTTATCATACTATAGAATGCCTAGGCATTCTATACAATGATTAGACAAATTATATAATTCCTCATAATTCATACTTTCTTAAAATGTAGGGCATTCTATATAAAGACTAGGCACTCAACAGAATGCTAGCATTTTATACATTGAAGGTAAAAAATAAAAATTATTTATCACAATATCATAAAACTACACATAAGAGCTAAATAAATTAAAAAGATGTTTCAGGTATTTATTTCATAAAACTTAGATATTGAAAAAAAAAACCTAATTTAATTAGATCTTTCTTATGATATTTTAATATAGAAAACATGGTTATAGGAGGTTATGATATTCTAGCATCAGAAAAAATAAGCATATCTTGCAAAATCATTTTCAGTTAAACAATAAAACTAATCAAAATTCATGAAAGTTTTTCACCATACTATTAAAGAACAGTATAAAGTGATTTCTTCAGCACAATACAGCTATACAGAGTTTCTTTGATTAACCTTTGGCAAAGCAAATACGAAAAATATGCAAATATCAGAAGTATTAGAAACTTTTATATGTACAAATTTTTAGAAGAATATTTTTTAAAGGATTTGAAAACCTATAAAAAATGTATTAGAAATAATTTAAAAGAAAAAAAAATTCAAACATGTAGTTGTAAACAATGTCTATTTAAATACACAGCTTAAATTTCGAGTCAGATAGTAAAGGTTTGTTTGACTTATGAATAAGGTCAACTTGAAATATGAAGATTAAAAAAAATTCTTTAGAAGAATTTAGGGTGCAAGTGATTCTCAGAAATTTAAAATTCAAGAGCATAGATACTAAAAATAGTAATATTATGTGTATTTTATTTCAGGTTTTAAACCACTTACTTTGAAAAGCTATCCATCAAATGATAACATGAGATATTATGAAATTGAGCTTGAGTACTCTAACACACAGAAAAAAAAACAAGTAGCCTAATTGCAGAACCAGCTAACTTAATTTAGTATAAATAAATAAAAAAATTAGATCAATCCTTTCTGACAGACTTAGATAATATGAAAAATCTTCTACGAACAGAAAATTTTTATTAAAAAACTTACGCGAGCAATTATAATTAACTCTTAAATAATGTAATATTAATTACAGGGTATCTGCTATGTTTTAGATTTTCAAATTCATGACTTTCCATGACTAATTCCAAGAATTTTTCATGACTCAACGAAGTTACTATTTTCTCCGACAATAACACAACAATAAATTTAAAAAAGCATTATAATAACATTCATTGGAATGATAGGAATAACCAAAACTGTTATACTCTGCATCTTCATATTTAGATTTTTAATTTAAAAAACAGAGTAAAGAAAAAGTTGAAACAATAAAATAGCTGAAAAAATACAAAAGCAAATAAATTTTTTTCTGCAGAATTAAAGATACTTTTCTTGTTCATCGGAAAGGAAAGAAATACACATTTTTCTGTTCTCATTTTGGATTAAAAAAATTCGCCAATGACTGGCTTGCTTTAGCTAGAATTTTAAACTGATAAAATAAAAATAATAACAAAAATTCTGAAATAAACAGAAGTTTAAAAAGATAATTCGCTCTAGAAATTATTTTTCTTTCATTTTTTGAAAGAACACCACAATTTTTAAAGAACACGATAAAAACATTTCATATTTTAATCAAATATGACTGTGATTGGGGATTTTGTAACAAATTCAGACATTCGGAACATCATGAAATTGGGGGAGGGGGTAAATTCCATTTTAAAAATTAGATTTTCCGATGACCTAAATCAATGACTTTTCATGATTTTTCTTAAAAAATAGTTAAAATCATGACGAATTTTGTTCAATACCGAAATCCATGATTTTCCAGGTGCGTGAAACCCTGTAATTAACCCTTGAATCTAGTTTCAACCTGTTCTTTGCCACCTTATTTGGAAAATTTGTTAGAAAATCACCAATTTTTAAAATTGCTTTAATTTTTATAAAACTTTATATTTGATTATTACACATACCTTTTCTATGCATACATACATTCTCTATATTGACAATAACACATGCCTGAAAGTCAAATGCAACGACGCAATCACAGCAAAAGTGTGGCTGCATGAAGTGGAAATTCTGATATAAATTTCTACAAGATTACTTGTGAGTTAGAATTGATTAATTATATTAATTTTTTACTAAATGATTTAATGAGTAATACTGAAAAAATTTCTGCGGTATTGAGAATTATTAATTGTGGTGTAAAAAAGAGAACTTCGACCATTCTTTGCTTTTAATGAGTGATAAAAAATGTTCTATGAACGCCGTTCCTGTATATTATGCGGATCTGCTTTACAGTATACAAAAACTTTAGTCAAGAACCAAAAGAATTGTGGTCATATGGATACAACATTGATTATTTTTTTAATATCAATTTCTATTTTGACAACCAATGTACCAATTTAGTGATAAAAATTATTACAATTTTATTGGCAAGGTTTCATTCATATTAAAAATGAAAGCAACAGTTTTTAATAATACATCAATTTTGAAGATGTCTGACAACATTTAATATGAGCATAACCTTTTTTCTTCCTAAAATGTTTAGAAGTGTTACATTATTTCAATTTCATGAAGAAAAAACACTGGTCAACATTTTTGCCAGCTATTTTTCTGCAGAAGTTTATATTATTTTCTTTAATACTTCCTACAGAAATATTCAAATACAAGAGTAAATTAATTGAATATTAAATCAAACAAAGACTAGCAATCAGATTAACAAAAAATAGAACTTATTGGTTTGAATTTACATTTTGAACTAGAGGACTCCCTCACCTGCATTCCAAATACTGAACTGTTGCAGTTCTTTTCAGATTATTTCTCTATTTGATCTGGATTATTTCACTATATCTTCAATACCTCAGATAACAATTTTAATTTCTTCTATACAGTGACACCTCCAGGAAAGAACACCTCTATGTAGCGACTTCCTGTATTTATGAGCCCTTTTGGGAGGCACGGAATTTTTTCCATTGACTTTGTGTTTAAGAAAACTTTTAGGAGAGACCATCAAAGCCTCTCCTAGCAACTGGCAAACCTCTGCACCAAATGCAAAAAAGGTCAATTAAATAGATTAAAATGTATTCAAAATATCTGTGTGATACTCTTATTTAGAGCACTTTTTTCGACGATCTCTAAAAGAGATTGAAAACCTCATGTTGCAGACATAGTGCACTAGATACGATGCTATCAATGATTTATTTTTAGAGTTAAAAGTGAATAAATTAGAAAAAAAACTTCTTCCCATTTTGTTAAAGTTAATTTTTATGATATAAAATTAAATAAAAACTTAAACAAAAAAACATAATTGTTTACTCATTTAAAAGTTGTTTCTTACACATAATTATATCAGTAAAGGTTATTTTTATTAACGCTAAATTTTATTCATCGATCCGGTTTTCGTGGCACTAACATAAGTGGCACTTTCACACACACACACAAAAAAAAAAAAAAGGCCCCTGCTAAAATTAAAATCCTTTTTCGAAAAATTATGCACCTTCAATGACATTTTGAAGTCAATGGAGGTAACCCCTAAGAATGACCAATTTCAATTAATGATCATTTCACTGTGGAACAGAGAGTGGTGGCTCCTGAGATTTCACTGTACTGACTGTATTATAAATTTATGTGAGACCAGGGCTCCTATTCACCATCACCAACATTCTAAGCTGCTTGTGCAGTTCTTTTTAGATCACTTCTTTCTCTCATCCACAAAAACAAATTGCCGATAAATAGAGTAATTTTAACGAATCTCTTAGATTCTTTAAAATTTGACTTTGTCTTACAACATGAAAAGATGTTCTTATTTAGCTGATAATACAGGGTTGCCACAGAAAAAAGTAAGAATATAGCTGCATTTAGTAGCCTAAAGCATGAAAATAATTCCCTAAATAAGAAAAAAAATATGACTAAAATTTTATTAAATTACTTAATTTTCATATACTACGATCTATTTAGTCAAATTGGTGTCAAATATAATTTTTATATAAAAAAAAAGTATATTTGTAGAAAACTAAATACTTTTAATTAATAGAAATCATTCAAAAAAATATTTTTCCATTAAAGAAAAAGCACACTTTTTCTAAAAAATTTCCAATTTAACCAATAATTGATTTAGCAAATATATATATATTGTGAAAAGTAATTATTCAAATTTGAAATGCACACATTGCAATATCATACTAAAAATTGGGCACTTTAAAATCCTGCAGAATTTCGTAGCAATTACCGTTGAAAAGGCGATTCAGAAACAAAATAGATTCACAATGGAATTAGTGTAAATTGAGCGCATAAAAAAGTGATGACTCAAATTTGCAATTCAAATTTTTTTTATTTTTTAAGAAAAAAAATTTATTGTGTTCAGAAGCTACTGCAGGTTGTCAACCCAATTTATGCTTAAAAAATACATAGCTGGGGAGCAAAGAAAAGTCTCCCAATAGTCTCCTTTTCCTGAATATAGTAGCTTTTGAAAAATGTTATCATAGTCTCCTCAGGGAGAAAATAGTTGCAAATAGTCGCCTGTGGCAACCCTGTAATATATCCTTTTAACTATTTTACAAATATTCTTTTTTCAGTTTCGCATCTCAGCATTTGTCTGTCTTAATTATCATAACTTCATTAAATGACAAAAAATAATAAATAAACTACTTACAAATAGTATGATCCATGTCTTAAAAAAGTTAGAAACAAAAATAAAGAGATAATGAATAAATAAGTAACAGGAATTCAAAACTTTTGTCATGAATATTTTGTTCCATAAATGAGTCATGCTTGGTAAATATTTTCAATATATGTTTACATAAATAAACACATAAGATATTTTGTACACATTAGGCATATTGGCTGTTAATACATATGAATGTTAATGCACACAATAATGAAAAAAAAGTGAAGACATACCAGTGCGGAAATAAAAAACCGCACATAAGAATATATTCATCGAAAGTCCACTGGTTAGATGTAGAGAAGCGAAGGTAAACATACGTGTAACATCAAAACATAATGTTCATTGGCTTAAAAGATCCTTTTATGCTATAAAGATTTGCTTTTAGAAAGAGGTTGGAAAACAGATGATAGTTCTTTTTGTATTTTAAAGAAAAGATATTTCTTGAGGAAAGTTCTAGGCACATCATTTTATTCATAACTTACCAAGTTCAAATTTTGAATAATTTATTTGAAAGATTGCCAACAGGAAAGAAATTGAAAATTATCTGACACTTTAGTTCATTAGTTCGATATCTTAGAGTGACACAGCCCTCATATGAAGTCCCGTAAAGAACCCAATTTAAATATATTCCCTGAAAAAAGTTCTCCCACTTTTAAGTTCTTAAAAGCCTTTTTTTTAAAAAAAAGACATAAAATAAAGTTCCATATTTAAAATCAAATCATAGAGAAATGTTCCAAATACTTTGCAATTGAAACATCGCAAAATAGGATTTTTATTTTCTTTGTTATTTTGACTCATTCCCCTTAAACTTCACAGAGCTACATATTATGAATAGCATGCATGCTAAATTATGATGAACGTTTTTTGAAGTACTCGTCAGAGCAATAATAGCCTCATTTCGATTGAAATTGATTGCATACGATTTTAACTACAGCAGCGCTCTGCTGATTTTTAGAGCTTCTTTCTCAATTTGAACATTTTCTTGCATTAAGCTCTTTTTTTTTCTAGCATTTAGCCACCACTGGCAGCTGGATGAATCACTAATTCACTGAAAGGCACATTCAACAGTTCTCGCCGTTTCGGCAACCATTTATCAGCTAACCTCATTGGATCAGGTGGACTTCTTCGTGATGCGACGTGAGCACCTCGGCGACGATCGTGGCGTTCACGATCATCTCTAGACGGTCTTGAGCTTCTTGTTTTATTCCTCTTCATATTTCTCAAAATGCTGATTAAATCGATGTTTTCATCCACAGGGAAGAGTCTGCATAATTCTTCGGCTACTTTTGGCTCAATTTCCTAAAAATTGCACACAATTAGAAAGTAACAAAGAAACGAACTAAGCATGAGCTTAGTGGAAAAGCTAGTCATTTGAAAAACATGTTATCTCATTAAGAGCTGCCACAATAAAAGATTTAGCAAGGTAATGCTATGCTTTATATTTACCATACATAACATTTTAAAATGCAGAAATTTCAGTATTTCCAAATATAGTGGAAAGTCACATAGCCGGAACTGCTGGGACTTAAGCAAGTCCGCAAAATAGATTTTTTCTAGTTAACAGGTTTTTTAGGTAAACAAGTAAGAAATCATGAGTTATTCAATAGAAAAATAATAAATAGATAATTAAGTTTATGCAACAATGTTTTCTAATAGGATGAATGACATTTAAAAATGTTTAGTATGACCAAATATAAAAAAGAAAGAAATTAAAGTGAGCAGGCAATAATTTGAACTTTTCTTCACATGAATAATGATACGTTTTACGTAAATATTTAATTTTCTAAAAAAACTCAAGGACATATTTCAGCATTTTAAAAATATTGCTTAACTTATAATCTCTTGAAATTCATGACAATGGTCTCATTTTATAACAACTATCTACAACAGCTGGCCATAACATTTCTAACATGAAGAAATTTTAGCGTTTTGAGAAAATCACGAAAACCTTTGTCTAGGAAAATTTTCAAAATATAAATTAACACAGTCCTCTACTAAGCTTTATAAATATTTATTTTCTTAAAAAAAAACTTGAAAAAAGATATTTTAGCATTTTTAAAATATTGCTTAACATATAACCTCTTAAAATTAATGACAATGGTTTCATTTTGAAACATCTACAATAGCTGACCATAACATATTCTAATTAAGAATAAATCTTAACGTTTTGAGAATATCATGAAAATCTTTGTCTGTGAAACTTTTCAAATACCTAATTTTTAAAAAAACTCAAGAAATTCGAGCATTTACAAAAATTTGGCAATTATTAAAGAAAATCACCTGTCCATCTCTGCCTATCTTGACTTGTTTTCCTTCATTCCAGGGGTTATAGAGGTGCTGTGTCTTAGTGAAAGATAATTCCCGCCTAAAAAGAAAAATCAAGCAATAATCAACAAAATGATAAAATTCATGGCAACTGTTTAGAATTAAGTTAGAATTTTAAAATATATAAGCTTTGATATAAAATTATTTTATAAAGTGTTTTACACTGAAAATGACATATAATAGTGTTGAATAAAAATTAAATAAAAATAATAAAATGAGAATAGCATTTTATTAATTAATCTTACCTGCATATGTAATCTAAATGAAAAACACCACCCAAAGCTCTTGCACTTAAACCAGGTGGCAACACCCACTGAATCGCTGGCACATCGTGACGAGATTCTGAACCCATACGAGCAAAGCCTGAAAAATACATATGAATTTGCTATCACACAGTAGAGCTCTTATAATCAATTTTTTTTTCTCTCCATTTAAATAACTTGGATGACCTAAATCAACAGTGAAGTGTTTTTTTTTTCTTTACAGGTACACTAAGTTTACTTTCTTTTCTGAATTTTAAAATGCTGTCTTACTTCCAATATTCATGAGGCCTTCAAACTAAAATCACCCAGAATTACATGAATAGAATTAATCATTTTATAAGAATAACAAATCAACAATGTGTTAGTTGTTGGAGTTGCATTGCTTTTACTAAAAAAAATCTGAAAGTTTTAATATTTATTATTTCATCTCGTTTTTTTAAAATCATTTTTAGTGTAGTTTAATTTCATCATTATGGCTTCTACTTTTGTTTAAAGAAAATCTGTTATGCTATGTTATCTGCTTGAAAGGGGATAAATCAATGAAATTAACAGTAAAATTCAATGCAACCAGTTAACAATTAAAAAATACTTATTTGCACAAATAATGCATTAAAAAATAAATAATAAAAAAACATTTGTTAAATTATTACGCTACAAAGAACATTTATTTGATCCACAATTTCGATTTTCAAAGTTATTAGAGAAAATAGAAGAGTAAAAAATGATGTTACTACAATTAACTGAATATTTGGACAATCTTTAATCACTCAGGTCCAATTACTTTACACAACACTCCTGCTGTAATACAGTATTAATCCTATGTACTACTCTACTCAATCTGAAACATCCCATTATAAAACTTAAAAGCTAGCCTCACTAAAATTTTTTAAAGGCAGTACAATATAAACCATTTAATACAGGAAAACAATGTACTATAAAGATAATAAATTTTAAAAAATTCTTGGTATAAAAACACAAAAATAGTGTCGTACCTTGAAACTTTCCACTTTCTTTCACAGAAAAGATAAGAATCACATTCCGACAAGACTAAATAATATTAAAACAATGAATTATTTCAGATAAAACAATAATACAAATACATATATTATTTTTGCCAATTTATATTTCATGGGAGAAAAAAATTAATATTTCTTACTCTGTAAGCTTGATTAAACTTGCTTTCATTTTGAGGTGGAGTTGACCATACACCCTAAAAAATATTTACTATAAGTCTCAAATACTCATATTGAAATACATATGAAACCATTGACATATTAAAAATTTAAATAATGTATATATACATGTAAAGAGAAAAGTCTTACTTTTGCTTTTGACAAAGCAACATTTTCATGATTATTGCTCTTCACTAAGAAAAATCTGGCATCACGGAAAAAGTATTTCAGCAAGTGAGTATAGTCTGCAGAAGAGAGAGTTTTTTAGAGAAAATTTTTTAAACAGTGTCTTTTTTTATTGAAAAATTTTACTAATGAAATATAGAACTTACCTCTTTTACTCACAGAAGAAGTCATACGAGGTTTTTTAACAGCATCTGTAAAAAAATAGGTACTATCAACATATATATGCCAGTTTTGAAATAAATATTAAAAAAAAAAAACATTATTTCCTCTTTGATTTGTAAAGAAACATTTTCATGTGAATTGAAAAAGTTTCGATTTCATTCTAATGTAAATTTTTAGTCATCTAATTAATAGACTCTTTATTAACTATATAATGTAATACTTTTAGCTATTATTAATTTTTATGTATTAAAAAATATATTAAGTTCAGAACACAGACATTTAAATAAGTATCATACTAACTACACCAAATTTTCTTAAAATGTTCACATAATGCAAAAATTTTTTAAGAAAAACTATTTTACTTAGTACTAATTTGCATTCTATTTGTTTGAGTTAAAAGGCTATTGTTTTTAAGGTTAAATATAAGCTCTGAATTAGTTTTTTTTTTTTTTAAATATAAAAACATGCTTAATTTAACTTCTACATTGCAACTATACAACATTTACTGTTACTAAACAAACAAAACTACTTAAAAATAAAGAAAAATAATAAACACAGTTTTTCTACAATACCATAAAAGGGTAACAAACTTAAAATTGAGTGTAAATGTATATGTACAGATTTAAAAATCCTCATTATTAATTCAACATAATTACTCATTTTATCACTTCTTAACAATAACTTATATATCACAAAAAAAATTTAAATTAAAAAAAAAACAAATTTTTTTAAAAATAGATCCAAAACAATATTATGTTTCAGAAATTATCAATAAAATCGAGTTAATTATGTTTTTTATTAATCTAAATATCACACTTACGTTCTTTGCTTTCTTTTCTATCATAAATAACGGGGGAGTGAGTGCGTTTTCTTGACCTTTTTTCATGTTTTTCAACCTCTATTAAAATAAAAAACATAAATATAAGACAATATAACAAATATATTAGATAATATCAAAAATAAATAAAATCATAAATCTCAATTTAGAAATTTTTAACTTAAAAATACTAACTTTAATGTACAGTTTTTTTTATTTATTTTAAGAAGTGAGTTTAATTTACTTGTTTTAATTTTTATAAAATTAAAGACGACTTAAATCAACTTTTCTTACCAGATTCAGGAGAAGAAGAAGGGGATGGACTAAGGGATCTTGAACGTGATGGTGAAACCGAAGATGAAGCAATGCTGCTGCGGCCACAAGAGCAAGTGACATCATCTGCTAGAGAACTTGAAGCATCACTGATTGTACTGAAATGGGTATTCTTATCATCTAGAGGACTTTTCATACCAAGATGATCATCATCGGATAGTTTTAGTTTTTCATCTATTAATTCTCTTCTATCTTCTCTTTTGGCCATTTGAGAAGCATTTGCAAGAGCCAAAGCTGAAAAGAGGGAAAACATATAAAAGATAAATTAAGGAACTAAAAAAAACTAGTTAATCAATTAGGATTCATGATTTTAAAGAACCAAGAGCAACAAGGTAATTTTAAAGTAAAAAATAAGTAAAACATCAGTTCGTAATGTTGCAAAAGAAATAAAAATTATATCCAGCCTAATTTGAGAACTATGCAAGAGATAATGTGCATACAACTATCTTCTTTTCAATATTGATTTATTTGTTTCGTTTTAACCCTGACAAAAATGGGCAAATGATTTCTAAACAGTATCTTCTGATTAAAATTGTTGTAAGCAGTTAACCGATAGAACTGAAACTGTCAATTTAGAAAATTTTGATCAAGCCGGATTAAGTGAAATCATAGACATTTCTTGGAAATAAACAGCACAGAGAAATAATTTTCAGATTAAAAATAAAACTTAGATAATTAAAAATCATTCAAAGAATATCTATGAATTATCTTTATCTATGAATATGAGTGAGATTTTAAATAAATTAGACCATTTTTATTTTTTTATAAAAAAATCTCTTCAACCTAGACTTTTTTTTTTATTAAATTAAAATATTGCATCTAAAATTTCCAAATACTTAATAAAATGTTAAATAGATATAACATACATAAATTAGAATAATTAAATTAGATTGTTAAAAAATAATCAATAAGACATAAAATAAAATGTTTCATCACATTGAAATAGTATAGATGAAATATAAATGGTATACAAAGTTTCTCCTCAAGAAAAAAATTACTAACATTTACTAGCCAAGGCCTTGCTTTCCGGATCAGTGCCTCTTAAAACACACTTGGCAGCTGTCTGAGAAGATGAACGAGATGAGGAGGAAGGAGGAGAATCCCTCTTAGATGTTAACTTTGCTGGTTTCCTAACGGTTGATGGAGCTGATAAAATGCCAGTAGGAATTGCCTTTTTGGTAGAACTCTCCACTTTAGAGTCTAAATAAAAATAGACATTAATCCTATTAATATCAACAACAAAAAAAATAAATAAAAAAAAAAATAAAGGAAAAAAACACTTTTTATCCTATGCCCGGCTTGAACGAACCGGCCAAACACTAATTTGCTGTACAATATACTTACAAGACCAAAAAAAATAAAAAAAATCCATCAGCTAATAGTAAATAAGGAGATGTGGTATTCTCACACGAAAGGCTTGATGCAGAGATTGTTACACCAATTCTATTGGGATGCTGCTAGAGGTAATCGTAGATTAATCTGTCGACCAGGATAGAAAAATAAGCAATTCCGTTCCCCTTACTTCCCATTTACACGATGCCTGATATTAAGTTTAGGACGCCACAAGAGAAACGGAAACCTGATACTTCATCTCTGATTCTCGTAGTTTGGTTTCAGGCAAATATCGCCAATAAAAATAACTTTGAGTCAGGCTGGAATTCAGGTGCCTGATGATTGACTCTTTGGGTCAAATGGTTGGTTTTTGCCAGTCCTGGCAAAGTGGGGTTCTTAACATCAGGAATAGTGTAAATTTGACTACGATTTTTTCAGGCTTGTGACGTCAGGCGTCTTTTGTCAGTTCTGTTTAAATAAGAGTGTTAGTGAACCATAAAAAATCCAATTATTGTCTTGTATAAGACACTTAGGTGTTATATCACCATAACAGAGTTTCCCGATGTCTCTAGATTTGATCTTTATCAATGATTTATAGTTTCTTAAGAGAAAAAAAATCTAAATACAGTGCCTTAAATTTTGCCAATTAATATAGGAATAGTTTTAAATAATCTTCAAATTACAGCAGCATGAACTTAAAATAAAGAATTTTATGAGATTACTGGCACAAAAAATGAGGTTTTTTCACAACTTGTCAACATTAATAACTGGATGACATAGAACATGTCTTTGAATTTAAATAGCCTCAAATTTAAAATGTAATTTCTCTATTATTCTAATTTTAAATTGCACAAAGCATATTTTTAAAAAATCAATTCGGTTCATTTGCAAATAGAACTTATTTATATTTCTAATGGCCTTTCATGGACATTTTCTAGAGATAATCAAAAATTGCAGTAAAAGAAATTATTAAAAAAATAACTTTTGTTGCCAAATTAAAATATTTAAACTAATCTATACATCTGGAATCGAAAATAATAGTCCAGAAAATACTGCTTTTCAAAAAACTTAAGAAAGCTTAAACACTCTTCTTTTGTTAAATGCTAAAAACTCTTTTCTAAAATTAAATGATTAATACTCTGAAAAACACATCTCCAAAATCCATTGCAATAAAATTCACCTATAATGGTAAATGCTATTTGCTCGCTTTAATGCTAAGATTCATCTCTAACATTAAATTTGATCACATAACTTTATTGTCAAATAAATGTTACTCAGGGTGGCCACTCAAATCAGATTTCAAATTTCCCTGATTTTTCCAGGTTTTCCAGATAAAAATCTTAAAATTTCCAGGTTTTTGTTTCTTTTTTCTTATAAAGTATAGGATGTGTACAAGAAAAGTGTCTATATTATAAAATATTTTATTCAAAATGTTATTTTTTTAACATATCATCTTGAAAAAAATAATTTATTTTGACAATTTTCAAGATTTTTTATTTATTTTTTAATGTTTTGGCACAAAATTTTGAATCAAAAATCATATATTGACCAACAAAGGAGCCTTTTTTGTTTAAAATTAAAATATGTTATAAGAGGTTAAAATGAAATAGAAAAAATTAGCATTAATGCAACAATTGTAAAAATTTGTCGACAAACATTGCTGTTAGTGATTGTAAAAAAATGTGTGATTGGTTGGTTTGCTCAGAAAAAATAATTCACAGATTTCTTTGAATAGGAGTAGAAAAGCTTTCAGAAAAAGAGTGCGATATAAAATCTATTATCATAAAATTATAACCAACTAATTTTTGGAGAATTTTATAAAGTTAAAAATACAAAAATATTTTGTCAAAATAGAGAAAAAAAATAACCACCAAAGCATCGGAACAAACTTGAGCCATAAATGGATTTAGCCCAAGGACAGAATTTAAAAACAGAAGCTAATATCCTAATTCCCTTTTTCCACCAGAATCTTACCTAAATTTTCCTAAATTCCCATAGCGGTCAAAAGTTTGCACATTTGTTTAGCAACCGTGGAAGAATTTTATATGGCATTCTAGTTTAACAGAACTATAATGGAGCAAATTTTGATGCAAGCAAAGTATCGCTAAGTTGATGATATTTCAACTGTTTGGCGATACATTTCCGTTAAAAAAAAGTGGGTATAATGGATGAAATAATTTAAATTAAGAAAATTAGCAAATAATTTAAATTAGTGAAATTTGAAAAATCATCAAAGAAAAATTTCCAGCTTTTCTTTAAAAATCCTTGATTTTTCCAGGTTTTTATCCAAATTTCCCTGATATTTCCAGGTTTTTTCCAGTATAAAAAAATTCCCTGATAATTCCAGGTTTTCAAGGTTTTCCAGGTGGGTGGCCACCCTGTTACTTTAATAGTTATAAAATAATCTCTTAATTTTTAATGATTAGATATCTAATTTTTTTCCTAAATTGCTTTTCATATTAAAAACTTCTTAATGAATATAATAATTCCTGCACTGCCAAATAGAATCTTATACTATGTTAAACCTCTTTAACAGCAACAGCACCACATATAACCAAAGCGGAGTAAAATTTTTGTTTCATAATAAAGAAATAAAATTATAATCTAATACATAACTGATAATTGTACTTACAAATTACAACTTTAATCTAGCAGTAACTATTTGTCAATACTTAATTTTTTTAAATTTCATATAACACTTTCCAGCATAGCCAGATTTTTCAGCGAAAAAAGAAGCACCCTTTAAGCACTCAAAAAATATTGGTAATCACTTCCAAAAAACAAAAAAAAAATCATAATCATAATTTGGATCCGTGCAGTAATAAAATAATTTTTTTTCTATTGTTTAAAGTTCCTAATTACTAAGCATAAAATCAATAAAATTCAAAAACTTCACATAAAGTGACTAGTTTACATAACTAGTTCACATAAAGTAGTGACTAGTTCACTTAAAGTAACTAGTTTTTGATAAATAGTGCAGAGAAAATTGTGAAAATCAGACATTTTTTTGTAATTTAGAATGACAATGGACATGGCAAAGAAAAAACTCTTTTTAAATGACAGAAAACTAAGCACTTTTTATAAACACCGAATAAAAAAAAGCACCTTTAAGCACTTTTTACAAATGTTACCCTGTAATGTGTATAATATTTTAAACTCAATTTTTTTTTTTACTTACCAGGTGGTTCTTTCTTGACAATAATAGTCTTTTGAATTACTTTTGTAGGAACTGGGGCAGCAGGCTTTGACGAACTCGAAGAGCTTTTACTGGACTTAATAACTTTCTTAACTATCCGAACAGGATTCTATAATAATAAAGTTATATTTATTTTAATATACATACCACATTGTGTAAGAGAAATTTTTTTACCATAATAAAAATTAAAACATGTAATAAATTCTCAGAAGTAGAATGATTTTAAACCTTATTTGCTGCACTGGTTGATCCATCTGATGATTTTTGACTAGATTTAATAAGTACTTGTCTAATAGTTCCATTTTCTTCAGTTTTTTGTTTCACCTTCTTTTCTTCTGGGAGGGCTGTGGGCTTTGAAGTCTTAGAAATCGGTCTTGAAGGTCTTGTCATCTTTTTATGAGCAGACTTATCAGAAGACTTCGTCGGTACTTTGGCTTGAGATCTAGAAACTGAAATAAATAACAATTCAAATAAAAAACCTACAACTTTCCTTGAGAAATTTAAAATCTTTCAAAAATATCACTTTAGTTTAAGGGAAAAAAAGAGAAAAAATCATGCAAATAATAATGAATTTTAACTTTTGTGATCAATACGAAAATCTATATACTCTTAGTTTCAAATCACTAAATACTTAAAAAAAAAAAAAAATCATGACACAAGACACTATTATAATAAATATTTGGCAAACTTTCTCTGATACAAGATGCCTTATAAAGAACTACCCTAATCCTCTAACACATTTAATATTACTAGTTTTTACAAATGAAACAGAGAAAAAATTCAAATTTTGTTTTAACCAATGTCAAAATTTTGTAAAAATAACAATGTAGAAGTCAAGTGGTTCATTAAACACTAAAATGCAAACCATGCAATTCAAAATCAGAGTTTGTCTATGCGTGATTGATAAACTTATCACAAAAGATAATGCATTAAAAATCTAATATTTCATGTAACATATATCCATCTACTTTGCAATATTGAATGGGAAAGGTAAATGTTTCTCACATGATCACACATTGAGTTTTTTCTTCCTGACAATGTAAACAAGTGCTTATTGTACTGCTTAATGTTTTGATAAGAACGACTGATTTATTTAGCAATTAGAAAATACCAAAATTATGCACAAGTTATAAAAAGAATACTAAAACTCTTTCTAAATGACAAAAAGTATTTTCTCACCAAGATTATACAAAGTAGTAATTATTTAGGAAAAAAACGTTATTGAAATGCAGAATATTACAAACCTATCTTTTTCTCCTGACTATCTAATTCAGCAATTAATTCATCATCTTCTCCAGGAACCACAAGAAGTGCATCCAGGACATTTACTTCATCTGCTAAATAAGAATTACAAACATTTAAAATACAGTTTATACATATAGTAATGAGGCTAATTTATTTTATAATCAGAAAACAGAGTAAAATCTTCTGAAGAATAAGTTTCTAGTCAAAGGAACATAATGAGTTCACAAGATTTAGCAAGCAGAAGTGTGGCCATTTAGTTTGGGTGATCACTCATCTATAGAAAATGTTTAAAATAAAAAATACTAATTTTCCTTGTTTTTGCACATACTATTTTTAAGTTTTCAGGATATCTACTTTATTTCACGATTGATAACGGCGACTATTTATTTAAAAAAAAAGACTGTTTGTCTCCCAATGAAGTGATCCAGGTTTGAATCCCAACCGTGGCTGGTTGATATGAATTCTGCTCGCAGCTAGCACCGACCACAGTGCTTATGTAAAATACCCTCAGTTTGTAGAAAGAACATGGGTTAGATCAGTGTTCCCCAATCTTTTTATCACAGCGGACCTGTCAACATTTGATAATTTTACCGCGGTCTGCTGGGGAGGGGGGGAGGACGTTAATTGTTTATATTTTAGATTATTTTGATTTATTAATCTTAATTTAATTGTATTTAAACGTGCCTGCAAAATAAAATACAGTTACACCAAAAAATAAATATAAAGTGATTTAACATTTTAGCTTACTAGAGTGTTAAATTAATGAGAACCCTGAGCTTGTTTCGTTGTAATGAGACTGTTCATTCTGGGGGTAATCGGAGACAATGATACATTACAAACATTAAAAAATTTATGTCACTACCTTCGGGGGCCCCTTTTTTTCAAATAAATAAAATTTTAATGAAACACAGATATTTTTAATTTGGGGTATAAACCTAGGAATTTAAATTCAGTTTCAATGAAATGGGCGGCCCGATACTATTTCATCCACGGACCGGTACTGGGCAGCGGACTGGGGAACACTGGGTTAGATCATGGACATCCCCTTGCCATCAGGAAAACCATGGTAGGTTTTCCTCTACATGTAATGCAAATTGGGGTTTATTCCATCAAAAAGTTTTTCACAAAGACTAGTTGGTCCCATTGCTTGATCCAGGAATTTCCTGGTTTTTTGAGTTAGGTCCAAAATTATACGGCCACAAAGTGGAATAATGATATTCGTTAACTCCAAACTAGGGTGGCTATTCAATGCTCGTTATAAAATATAACTTAAACAAAGGAATTAAGTAATCTTTTTCTTTTAAATTTGTTAAATCATGGTATTCATATATTTATTACCAATTAAAATAATTAAACATACAATAAATTTGTGAATAATATTTTTTAATACCTTATCTTAAAAAAAAAAAAATTATTTACAACCTGTATCATAAATTTAATATTAAACTCTAGAGATTAGAAAAAAATAAAGAAGCAACAAAAACACATATTTTATTAGTGACGCATGGGAGATATTTATTATGAATAATTAATGTAAAATCAGTACACAGGAACATAAATACAATTCAAAAATTTAACATACATTTTAATACTTAATGTTAGATAATCTAGATGAACTGATAAAATAATGCTATAACTTTAATCTGACACAAGTAATATCAAATTCAGACCGAAATGGAAACAATTATCAAAAACTAATTTAGACCAGAATTGGTTATAGTTAATCAAGTGAAAATGATAATACACTGGATACGGTTTTTGTTTCAATGCCATATAGGCAAATTAATAATGAATGTTAGTAGGAACTAATCCAGGATTTTTTTCGGAGCCCATTTTTTTTAAAGAAAATAATATTTAAAAAATAGAGGTTATTTTTGTAAAAATTTCTAAATAAATGAAAAATGCAGTAAATTGATAAACAAAAAAAATTTTTTTTACAATGCTTTGTACTTATATTTAATTTTTTACTTGATCATATTGTAACAAAAGATTAAGATAAGTTTTTTGCTAGATAACAATTATGTATATCAAAAAATTTTAAAATAAAAGCCAAGCAGTGGTTTATTTTTGAATTCAAATTTTGCGAAAGGTCTGCAAAATGGTTCCCTTTTCCACTTAGCCTTTTCTCTCCCCAGATAACATACACATTCTCAAATTTTTTTAATCTAATTCCACATGTATAACTTTTAATTTAGTCTCATTAATACATAAATTTATTACAATATTTTGATTAAAATTTTTATACAAACTTTTTAAAATTGGGCACAAAACATAAAAATCCAGGAAATGGTTATGGCTAGCACAAACTTCACCTTAAATTTCTAAATTTGTAGTAGTTATATGGCCTGTGATTCATTATAGAAGTCCAAACTAAAGAGAGGTGTAATGTGACTCACACAAGCTAAGTATTTGATTATAACTTATAACTGTGTTTGTGTGTTTAAACTCTCACATTCTATGAACGTAACTGCCGTGGAGCTAAAATCGTTTTTTAGGCAAAATTTTAGTTTTCAGAAGAAAAAATATTGTTAGAAAAGATTTTAAAACCTTGTCTTAGTTTAATTAGATTTCTGCAACACACAAAAAAAAACTACCTGTACAATAAACAGACAGTAGCCCAGTAATGGTTTTAAACTACCTATCTAAATTCAATTGGTTAAATAGATTTTAAATACATAATTTAAAAATAAAAGAAATATAACTTACAGTGTAATTTTTATACTTTTAAAACGAAAATGTATGTTTTGATATTCAAAACGTTGTGTAAGTGTATTTTTTCAGGGTTCCAATTAATCAACAAAAAATAAGCAACTTTCAAGAACTCAAAAAATATTTTTAAGCACTTTAAAAAATATCATAATTAGGCAGGGTTGAAAAGTTTTTGACAATTGACGGTTTTATCTCGTTTTAATTGTCATGTAAAAAAAAAACCTTTTAACATTGTTTTTAACAATTGTCAAAAATTATGAAATTCTGAATCATGTAAAAAGAATGGCGTTTTCATACTCTACGGATTGACAATACGCCGAAATAGATTATGGTTGAATGAATTATGAAAGCGTTGAATAGAACAATGTGAACTGTGTCTTGCACAATTCGAAGCGAAAATCAACATAGTAAAGTAAAAATCTAAATTTGGAAAACGGAAAATTAAGCACTTTATGAAAACACCCAATGAAAAAATGCACTTTAAAGCCTTTCAAAAAACAAAAATCGAAAATAAGCACCTTTAAGCACTTTTTAAAAACGCTATGCACCCTGTATTTTTAATATGATTAATGTCGACCAATTTAACAAAGTAATATGGAGAAAATGTTTATTTTAAAACAGTTTGGTGAACAGATTCTGCGTTGAATAAATTTTGGGGAATAACATAAGTTTTTTTAACTACAATCACTTAAGTGCACTCGACATATTAATTATAAAAACAAAATTAGAAATTGAAGTTATACATTGGTTAAACCCTTCATGTTTATATAAATCAAAGCTATGCAGAAAAAACAGAGAGTCCTATAAATAACAACGAACAACAAATTAGATTTATGACATATCGGCTTATCCAGTAATGTAAGAAAACTCTTGAAGACGGACAATGAACTGATCCGCCATTTTGTTTACAAATTGCAAAATCAGTATTGAGCAATAAGATTGCTGCGTCAATGTTTGAAACAAAGCTTAATAACTCCTTCATTAAACTATTATCGTATTTAGAATATTAAGATTAAACAGTAAAAAAGCAAGTTAAAATTCATAAATGGTTTAAGAAATCAATAATTTTCATCAATACCGATACAACTAAAGGTATTCGATTCACACTTTTTTTAAAATAATATTATATCCTCATGATCCATACATTATAAAATTTTGTTTTAAAATAGTTCTAAGAGTAAATAAAATAATAAATATTTAAAGAAACTGATGATGGACTAGACATTATTTCCCGGAAAGCGTCTCACCTTTTGAATCCATTATTTTGCTAAGTAAAAGATCTTATAAATTTAAATGCCTTAAAAAAATGAAATTTTAACTATTAACCATATTATTTATAAAGGAAATTTATAAAACTAAGTTTTATTATACGTCATAACATATAAAACTTCTTCAAGATCACAAAACAACAAACAACAACAAGCAACAACTTTCATCTACAGTTTTAATCTTCTTCTTTTCAAAGTGGGGCTTAAAATGTAGCTTCTTCATTTTTTTTTTCTTCAAATATTCATAAAATAAGAGTCATGTGTGTTATGGTACTTAAAATTATCAGTTTGTTTAATATTTTTGAATCACCTATCCTAATGAAGATTTTTAATAAGAAAATAATTATTTAATTTAAGGGAACACTTTTTTCTTTCATTCACTGTAACTGTCATCTTCAGTCTTTAACCTTCATTTCGGTAGTTGTTAAAGCAAGTACTTATTAATTATAAAATAAAAACACTTTTAATTTAGCTTTCATTTTATAACGATAAAAAATGGCCTCTCTTGGTTCTAAGTTGCCAGTTATGATGAAAGGTAAATTTATAATTTGTTTGATGGTCAAATTTATAGGTCACTAAAAAATTGTGTATATAATGTAAACACATATATTAAGGTTAATAATTGTTAATCAATGCAGTATTGCTGTATATTCTTCACTTGATTTATAATTCCATAATTTAGAAATCTTCAAATAATTGCAGTTAAATATCGCTTAATAAAATATACATTTATTAAAAATTGGTTGAATATCTATTGATATTAACATAGATATATATCAAAGCGATGATAAATAAATTTGACGTTATTTTGTTTTGTAACCGTTACTTACAATGAGAAGTTTTGGTTTCCTGAAACGCTTAATAATTTTAGTTTCTTAAAATAATTTAATTTATGTTTGTTTCTGTGGGGATTTAATTATAGACTATGTTAACCTTCATCTATCAAAAGGAACATCAAGATAGAATCAAGTTAACATGTCTTATATACTAGTGAATTAATATTCAATATTTATAGTAGTAGTTATGCCACATTACTACCCTCCCAGGATTTTATCTGTGATAGAATACGACAAACAAATACCACTTGTTGATTCATGCTGTTTATTTATTTATATTAATTTTGCTCATTATATTTTCTTCATTTATTTGTTTTTAGCAATTCGCCCATGATTTTTTTTTATTAACTGGGAGACTTTATTTTCTTTGAGCAGTATATATATTTTTAAGCATATCAACTGTTTCTAATGTGGACCATCCAGCGATGTTGGCATGTTCATATCACGTCCACAGGTCACCAGTGTGGGGATTTAATTTCTTCTGAATCCAGTAGATTAATGTTTTTTTAAGGATAAAGAATTGCCTGAATTTTTAATTTCAATCCTCACAATTAGAATAAGTTAAAAATGTTCAAATTAATTTTAAAGAAATTCAAAAATTTTTAGTGAACTCATGGTGCGCAGCGTTTTTAAAAAGTGCTTAAAGGTGCTTATTTTTTATTTTCGTTTTTTAAAAGCCCTAAAGGTTCTTTTTAGTGGATGTTTTTGAAAAATAAGCTTAATTTTCATTTTTCGAAAATGAGATTTTTTTCTATACTGTGTAGATTTTCGCCATGTGTAATGCAAGAGCGAGGTTTTCACGTTGTTTTATTAAACGTTTTTACAATTCATTCAGCCACAATCTATTTCGGCGTACGTCGACCCATAGGGTATGAGAGCGCCTATCATTTTACATGTTTGATGAAATACTTGCGAGTTTGCATGTGCGTCTACTGAGCTGGGTTCGGTGAGTTTATTACGCTCTCATGTGCAACTCTGCTGCATTTTGCAAGATATTCTTGATTTCAGGCTGCATTTTCCACTCTTTGATATCGAACCAAAAAATCTCTTGATCATTTTATACTGACTAATATAATCAAGAATAGAGTTCTTTGTCAGAAACTGGTTATTTATCATGATCATGTAAAGTTTTTAAAATTCTCTTGCATTTTTTTAATGTATATAAACTAACTAACTCAGTGGCGCGACAGCCCATTAAGAGGGCCAAGGCCGACTGTGCCCATCTCAGTTTTCTTGACCTTGGGCTCTGGGGTGCAGGAGCATATGTTCCGGTCAGGTGGTCAGCCGAACGCGGAACCCCCAGTGTTAGTTCCCAAGCATGCTTGGTACTCATTTTATCGACCCACTGAAGGGATGAAAGGCTGAGTCGGCCTTGCCCGGCCCAAGGATCGAACCAAGGACCTGTGGCACGACAGCGCGAAGCGCTACCGCTCAGCCACCGGGCGTCTTTTAATGTATATAGTGTTTAAAATATTATTGAGTGCTTAAAAGGTGCTTATATTTTGGGTTCGGTGAGATTATTGCGCTCTCGTGTGCAACTCTGCTGCATTTTGCAAGATATTCTTGATTTCAGGCTTCATTTTCCACTTTTTGATGTCGAACTGAAAAATCTCTTAATCATTTTATACTGACTAATATAATCAAGAATAGAGTTCTTTGTCAGAAACTGGTTATTTTATCATGATCATGTAAAGTCTTTAAAATTCTCTTGCATTTTGTTAATGTATATAGTGTTTAAAAATATTATTGAGTGCTTAAAAGGTGCTTATATTTTGTTGAGAGATTTAGCTACGCATCCTGAAACTACTAGTGTGATAGTAAACTTTTGGTGCTAGACCATAATGTTTAGTTAGAAGCATGTTTTGCTTTGAATTGAGCCCAGGAATGTTGACTTGCTGTGCTATGCTTGAAAAGTGAAATTTTTGTATGTGAAAAGATTTAATATGACTTGGAAGTAAATTTTTTATTGTTGTAGATCTACTTAAACTATGATTAAAGATTGGTATAATTTTAAGGTATTTTAAAAAAATCATGTTTCTTAACTTAGAACTTCAATGTGTTTATTATTATATTTTTTTCTTATGATATGTTTTTTTAGTTTTGTTGAATAATAGTTTTATATGTAGTTGTATATTGCAATATGTTAATTGTTGTAAAATTATAGTTTTGTGTGCATGTATTGCTATATTTTTATGAAATTTACAGTAGGCTGGTAACAAAACTGTAGCCTGGAATATAATATTTTATTTAGATATCTACCATTTTTTATTTATGAAATACATGTTTTGTATTGTTAAAAAATGAATGTAATACAAGTGAACTTAGAATTTAATGTGATTAGAATATTTGATTCCATTTTTGGCCTATGGCAAAAAACAGTGTCGAAAGTGCTTGTTGAATCCCCAAAATGGTGTTTGTGCTTAACAACGAATCAGTTTCACTTTTTTTTCTCTCAGAAGTAAAGTTTCGAAGTTTCTGAGATACATGTTATTTTTAAATAAAAATTTAATGGAAAATTTAGCTTGTTTGGAAATGTCTCGTAAAATTTTTGAGTTGTTTTAAGGTTATAGATATTTTAGTACATTTTAGATGTACTTATTATTTTAATCTTGAAGCATCTTGAGCTATAAACAATTCTTTACTGATATATGTAAATCAGAATTTTTTAATATCTTAAACTGCCTTTAATTGTCTTTTTTTTTTACATTTAATTAAATGTTGTAATCAAATTTTTATGTGAAAGTTCATCTTATTCTGCATATTTTCTTAGTTTTGTAATATTTACTAAAAATTATAATTAAGATTATTTCTTTTTCCTGACCTTAGTCTGTCATGAGAAAGAATTCACTTTTCTTTTATTGAAATTACAGCATTAAATTTTTAAAAGTAATTTTCTTGCTTGCCATCAAATAAAATCCTATCTTTTTTTTTATTATAAAATCTGTATTATTTTATAGGAAGTATTATACTTATAAGGTATCTAAAAATAGTAAGGTAGTTTCTGTTAGACTGTACTATCTTTCCCTTTTTAATTATAATTATTTATTAAAAAAGTTTTATTTTTTATTATAAATACACATATAGGATTATTAAGGTTACATGCCAAATGTGACATGATTTAAAAACAAAAAAAAATTATGTATTTTTAATTAACCGTTTCAATTACCAATTTTTTTTTAAAAAGAAAGAATGCAAAAAATCAACATATTTTTTTATTTTATATACAAGAAACTAAAAAAAAAAACATAAAACACAAGTTCTAAGTTGAAATTTTAATTTTTTTTATGCGTAAAAAATATTTAATTTGCCATCAGCTTACCATCCCAATTTATCTCGGGCAAATGAAAAAAGTTAAATATTAATCTTTTTATATGTTCACATCTTCATAATCTGAAAAATCGTCTGCATTGCTTTCATTTTTGCTAGCAAAAGCCAGTTTTTAAATCTTTTTTCTCTATGTAAATTCATCAACCATCGTATATACAACTGTACAAAACATGCCTACAGTCCCACAAATAGCAAAACTCCCAAACAAAAATTAGCAAGCTTCCAATCACAGCAGATTATTATTATTTTCTGTTTTGCTTCCGGCCGAATAAAATCGTGATAAAACAAAACATATTGACAGGTTAACTCGAGATGATCAGGGAAGCAGTTATGTCTTAACAATCTTTTTTTTTTCTTGTAACTGTTAGTCTGTTATAATGGAATTTCCTAATTATAACTTTTGACCTAGTCTGCTGGTATTTTATTTTTATTATTATTATAAATTGAAATTGTTTTAAAATATTTTGGATAGAATGAATAGAATTTTCTTTTGCAATATAGCTTGAAATCTGTTCATTTCTCAATTATTCCATTACATTTTAAAGGTTTGGTTGAAAGTTCAAAGCCTAAGCTTGCAACATTTGTGAAATATGCTAAAGTTGAACTTGTACCTCCAAAGATGTCAGAAATGCCTGAAGTTATGGCTGGCTTTGGACGCCTGATGAGGTCAGCAAAAAGTGGTGCTTGGAGACATACTCCTGTTAGGGTAAAAATCTTTTCTTATATTTTTCAGTTTTCATTCTTAATGTTTTATTCTTATTGTTCTTTTTCAGTTTTCATTCTAATGTATTCTAAATTTAAACTTTAAAAAAAATATGTATTAAAATTTTCTATGTTTATGTTTAAGAAATGTTTGTAAACATTGGATTGTATTTCCATAGCTGCTAACTACTGGATTTACGAGTAGACTACTAGATTTTACCAGTTTCTCCTAGTCTAATGGTTTTTGAAAGTTCTCCTGGTTTTTGTACAATTTAAAAAATTCCCTAAAATTCAGTTAAGTTTCCTAAACTAATTCCAATTGAATTAGAATTTTTACACAGCTCTTTGCTTACTTGAATATGTAAATAAATATTACTAATACATAATGAAGCAAACCTCAAATATAATAAGCAGTTAAAAGATTTTCTTTTTTTTCTTGTTCTAAAATTTTCAGTTTATTTTTATTTAGAGCTCTCTTTTTAAATTCATTAAAAAAAAATAGGTATCTATAATAAATTATGTGTCCATTACTATTCGAAATTATGAGTTAACATAGTGAAAATCATTTGAAGTTCATTTTAAATGTCAATCAAAAAGGAAAAATATTTCGGATCATTTATACTTATTTGTGTATTTTGATGACGGGCTTTTTGATAAAGCTTTTGTATTTTGATGACAATAAAAATCCCCAAAACTCACAATCTGTATAAAAAATCAAAAAAAAAAAAAATCAGTATATTACGCAACAGCTATCCTGAAATTTATGTTATTTTGTGAAGCTTACTGAATTTTTTCTATCTATGGCAGAATTGTCTTTCATTTTTGTCATTTTACTCACTGTCAAAGGAACTTGTTAAATGGATCTAAAAAAAATTGATATATAATTCATTACAGGGTTTTCACAAACCTACCTAAATCTTTACCTTAAGGGTTTTAACGAACCTACTCGCATATATAATTATATGTGAGCAGGCTTTTTTAATCCAAATTAAATAGGTGAAGAAAACTCTCTTTCGAAAAGATGTGTGATTCTCCCAAAATATGACTTTTTTAAATCACAAGTTTTTAAAAGCTAAAGATGCTTTAAAAAAGAGTATATTTTTTATAAGACATTTGACACAAGGAAAGTAAAAGAAACTCACTTTAACAATGTTGGCTTTTAAGCTAATCTTTTGGCTCAGAAAATACTAGGAGAGTGACATTCTTGCATACCAGGAGTGTGACAGTTTTTTCATACAAGGCCATATTATTAAGATAGATGTAGGCTTAAGAAAGTTCTTCTGTATAATCATCACATTATTATATGTAATATTTTTTAAATGTCGTTACTCGACTATTAACATTGCTGTAATTGCATACCTTGCCTATATAAGTTCTAGGTATCTTTATGATAACTGTAGTATTTATTGTTTTATTTTGATTAATATATGAAAATAATTTTAAATAATTATATTAAAATACCAAAGCATTAAATGGAATATTTTCATTGGAGTATTGTTCTTTTTACATATAATTCTTCTCTAAAATTTTAATTTGCAGTTTTTCACACAGCCGTCCCCTTTTTTAACATTTTAAAATTGCATTGATGTTTAGCTGATCCTTTTTCTCTATTGTATTTAATTAAGACATTTTTTAACTGTGTAAAAACTGATTTTTATTTAATTTATTTCTGTGTAATAGAGTAATGTATAAAATTAAAAAATTATATGAATATATGATTTGTTGAAAAATTAAGTTCCTGGTTTCGAAAAATGTGCATACATTAAGATTTGTATAGAAAATATCATGTCAAAGCAAAAGTTTTTTCTAACCACTAGAAAGCTTTTGTTGAACTTCTTTTTAAGAAAAATTAAGTGAAGCATCTGAGCTATACACGGCGGCAAAGGACTTGCCATTCATCATTCATTTGGTTGATTCTGAAATCAAAATTGGAGAGTGTTTAGCTCAAGACAGTGGTGAGAAGGAATGTGCCATTTGTTGCACTAATCAGAAGCTTTCTTTGACTCAACACTGCTGGCTAACAATTGAAAAAGAGACATATGCCATTGTATAGGCTCTAAAAAAATTGAACACTAGATGTTTGGACTGATCATAACCAGGGTTTGTTGATTTAAATTAGCTTGATTTAAATCACAGTGTAAATCATGATTTAATTCAAATGATTTTTTTAAAAAAATCATTGATTTAAATCAGCTGATTTTTTTATGTATATTGATTATAAAAGTTAAAAAACAGTGTTTTAAATTATTGATACTTTTATTATTTTCTTTTCTTAGTTTCAAAATTTATTTTAAATAAATTGTTGCATTAATTAATTTTAGTTAACGAAATTACTTTCTTTCTTGGTGTGTGTTAAATTCCAACTCATTGAAAATTACATTTTTAAAAATATTTTGATTCTTGAGATTGAAAGCACAGATTAAAGTAAACATTTAATGCTGTCTTAATATAGANTTTTATATATATATATTGATTTAAAAAGTTAAAAAACAGTGATTTAAATTATTGATACTTTTATTATTTCTTTTCTAAATTTTAAAATTTATTTGAAATAAATTGCTGCATTAATTAATTTTAGCTAATGAAATTACTATCTTGGTGTGTGTTAAATTCCAACACATTTGAAATTACATTTTGAAAAATCTTTTCATTCTTGAGATTGAAAGTACAGATTAAAGTAAACATTTAAATTTTTTTCTCATAATATGTTTACAGTATCTTTGACGTTATCAGATTTTGTATTAAGAAAATTTCAATGAGTACTCAGATTTCTTTAAAAAAAAAAATTTTCAGCTTAACTTATATATTTTGATATAGGATTAAAAATGAATAAAAGTATTCTTTAAATTCTCTACTTCATCTCATCTCTAAATTTCAATCATGCATTTGTTTAAAAATGGTTACTATGCGTTATAATGAAAAATTGTTTTAGGTAAAAATATTCATATGATATAGTTTTAATATTAATTAAGTTTTGATTTAACATTTATAAAGTTTTTTTTAGTCATAAATCAAAGTTCTTACTGTGTATTTGAATAAAAATCAAAAAAATCCGTATTAAATATAAAAAAAAATCCAATTTTCTTTTAAAAAATCAGGAAACCCTGATCATAACGCACTATAGCTTTTGTGAAGAAAAATATGCTACAACCAGCAAAATTACAGCACTGGGCACTTGTTCTTCAAAAATATAATATTCACTGCCTGAGATCAAAATTAACTAATGCGGATACATTAAGTTGACTATTTACTTCATAAACAATATCTTTACTTCTGGATTAATTCTTTTTTTTTTCAATGTGTTTGAAGGTAAATATTTTATTCATTAACTATTAATAGAATATATAAGAAGTGCTTGAATGTTCAATTATAGGTAATTAAATATTTTATGAGATTACTAAATTTTAAACTTTATATTTTTAAAATAAATTTTTTTATTTTAATGATTTTTATTATGTTATTTCTGCAGATTGAGTTTAAATTCAATTATATACTTTGTGAGTAATTGGATGATAATTTATGGTACATAATATGCTTTTTTTTATTATGAAGTTTAATATCTCCTGAAAAATTGTTTCTAATGTTTATTTTATATTGATGCTAATTAGTATTTGATAAAAATATTTTTGAATATTTGAAACACTCAATATGTTTGCTAATTTAAATACTGTGATTTGTCTTTATTACATTTTAATCAGTCATATCTCTTTTTTCTTTGAAGTCTAATTTGTATATTAAACTTATTCAGTAATTTATAGTTTTATATACATATAAGAAATTGCTTTTTATATTTATTATTTTTTTTTAAGTGTATAATTTTCATATATGTAATTTTTATGCCAATGAAAATTATAAATTACAAGGAATAATGCTCTGAAATTGTCCAGAAATGCCATTGTTGTCAAAATCTGGATCTTATAACAGTGTTCTCCCTAGGCATTCTTAAAAAGGCGGACCGCGCTGCCTGTCATTTGATGTGCCCTCTTTGCTCTTTTTGTAAAATCAAACTGCCATTTCTTAAAAACACTGCCTTTTTTATTCCCATTCCATTAATAAAAATTAATTTACTCTTTAAATTATGATTTGATTACCTACTTGGTAAAATTATCTGTGTTTATAAGTTTAATTCTGATTACTATTACAAATACAGGGTTGCCACTCCACAGGGAGAACAGGGAAAACCTGGAAAATACAGGGAATTTAAAAATCACCTAAAATAACAGGGAAAATGTAGGGAATTTTGATTTTTTCTTTACAAACTGGAAAAATACAGGGAATATTGTTTTTTTATTTTTGTCTTTTAAAAAATGGTGACCACTCAAAGCGTAATATATGGGATATTTAACCATGATATTTCAGCTATACTAAACTATTTAATTTATTACAGCATTATTTAAGTATGTTCAGCTGTTTTTCCAGCAATTGAAACTAATAAATATAGTTAGTCCAATATAGCTCACACAAGAGCACAGTAATTATTGTTTCCTCTTAATATATTGCGTATAACATGTACAGGGAAAACACGGGGAATTTTTTTTCCAGATTTGAGTGGCAACCCTGAAATATTTATTTTGTTAGTATTGTTCTCTACTGGTTAAATTTTTATAAGTTTATCTTTTTTTTTGGGGGGGGGAGTATATTAATAAACTTTTTATGCAATTTTGAATTTTTAAATAATTTTTTTTTTTTAAATGTTCATTGTCTCATTATTTTCAGCTTAAGTTATGGCAAAAAAGCTTTCAAATTATTTCTCAATTAATGTTTTTTTTTTAGTTAACTTTTTTTTCGAAAAAATTTGTGCTCTGTAATTGTCTTTTAGGATGTCTTTAAAATTATTTTTTATAAACTACAAAGTTTTCTCTTATTTTGATAATGAGTGAGTATTACTTTTTGAAATACACATAAAATGGTATAAGAGGATAACTTAAAAGTTGTTGAGGATCAAAATCAGTTATTGCATAATATTACAAATTTTTATCGTGGTAAGTGAGTGCCTTTTCCAAACTCAAAGTACCCTTTTCTGTGAGGAAGCACTCTGCTCCTTTCTTTTCCTTGGAACTCTGCTTATTAGTAACCACATTTGTAATAAATTGCAATCAACTTGAATTATCTAGTCAATAGAGATTTGTCACGAACCTTTTAAAAAAAAATACTACTAGATTTTTAAACAAAAATTTTGTTCATTTTACATATTGTTTTTTCTTTTCTTTTTAGGAAGCATGGTTGAATTCTTTAGTTGCAGCTGAAATCTATTTCTGCTTTTGCATAGGAGAGTGCATTGGTAAAGGAAGTATATTAGGTTATCAAGTATAGATAGGTACCCAAAGTACGTTATGCATAAGAACTTTGTTATTAACACCCCACTAAATGTCATAGAATTTATCATGTGATTAGATAATAAAATAATTCTCAAAAACATGTGCTTTGATTTGTTTTTGCTTTTTTGTTTTGAGTTAAATAAATTCTGACTCAGTATTATCTTCTGTAATTATCTTATGCATTGCTAAACAGAAAAAAATAATTCATTCTTTAACTTTCTATGTAAAAATTGTATTCAAAATTGTTTTTCAAACTTTAGTGTTAATCACTATGTACTTTAGTGTTAATCACTATGCCGCTAGCTATTCCAGAATTCAGCTTAACTCCAGAAAGTATTATGTGAATTACATACAATTAGAGTTACATGCATATGTACATATTCTTCTCTACTCCGAATTAGAGCATAGTCTCACTGTATTTGTGACCAGACATTTTGCCTCTCTCCATGCCTTTCCTATTATTTTCAATTCATTTGCAATCATCCTGGTCCAAGTATTTTTAGCTGTTCCTCTTTTTCTATTGCCCAGAGGGTTCCAATCAGACATTTGTTTTACTTTAAATTTTCAGGTTTACATAGAACATGACCAATCCCTATTTGCGTTCTTTAATTTCCAGATCTATTGGTTTATGTTTTGCTTTTCTAAGGATTTCTGCTTTACTATTTACATACAGTTAGAGTTCCTGATATCTAATTTTAGTTGGAGAGTTTAGACAATAGCTTCAAAATTGTCTAAACCTTTGGGTTTGCGGCAGAGAAAAATAATGGAATGAATTATCACACTTGGCAGCACTTCTCATCAATCTCGTTTTCTTCCTCCATTTTGGGAATTTTTGTGGGTTTGTGGTTTTTATTGTTTCTTTATTCCTTTAAAAATTAAGATGCAGTTTTTGGTTTTCCGAACGTCATTGCAAGGATCGAGTAATGCATTGGTAAAAATTTATTTGTACTGCTGAAGCTCTGATCCCAATGTCAATGCATTATGCATTCATTTCCAGATCGCTAAGAGCAGAATTAATCGTGGTATTCCGTCAAAGAATTGATTGTTAATTAAAATTTTTTTAGACTTTTTAAGTTTTTTAACTGGAGCTGTATGCTGGATGACAATGCAATATGCAATCATTTCCTGAGCGTTACTAGTAGAACTTATCAAGAAATTAATACCAAAAGAAATTTAACGCCTGTCAAATTTCCAGCCACTTTCTGACTTACTGGAGTGCTCACATTATATGCTCAATTATTTTCTGATCACTACAATCAGAATTTATCACCATATTATTGCAAAATTGATTGATCACTGGTAAAATTTCCAACCTGATCTAGAGCTCCGAACCTAATGACAAATTAAACAATTATTTCCTGACAACTTTGACTCAAACTGAATTTATCACCATGTTATTACTACAAGAAATTTATACTCAATCAAAATTTCCACTGCTGTTCAATTAGCTAGAGTATTTCGTTTTTATTATAAATGGAAACATCTCGGTGTTTTTTATCAGTTCCTGTCATGCATGCATCATAACATGCAGATTTTATTATCAAAAAGAATTTATTGACAATCTAAATGTTGACCGCTTTTCAAATAGTTAAAGTGCTTAAAAGTAAACTGGGTTCTATTCTAGTTTCGATCGTTTCTTGACCATTACAAGCATAAGTTATACAATCTAAATTTATTGGGAATCTCTATGACCACTTTCCGACTTACTAGATGTCAATTGAAGCTCCGCGTATGACAATTCAATCATTTTGTTGATTTAATCCCAAAACCCATCAACTAAATCAATTGCGTAAGTTCATAAACTTCCAGAAAGTCTAAAAAAAATCTCGTCTAACCTGAAATCAAAACATTTTTAATTGTGTTGGACAATTCTACACTTAATACAAATACTATAAGTTTTCTGTTCATATGAGACACCTCAAATGACCACTGGCAAAGCGTGATACGCAATTGTGCTAACTTCTGAGCCTTTCAGACAGCAGGGAATTTTCTAGAATACCAATAATGTAGACTAAAATTGTATTTGCAAAGTAAATTTAAAAAAAAAAAAAAAATTCGTTTATCATATTAGAGTGCCACTCTTCAGTCCTGGAGACTGAAATCAGTCTTTAGAAAAAATCAGTTGTCTAAATTTCATCAATTAGTATCTAATCTCTTTTTCATTTGTTTTTTTAATATTAAATGCCCTTTTTTCCTTTTAATTTAATTCCGAAAATATTTTCTGTTAAAAATAAAATCCTTTTTAATGAAAACATTATTTTTCAAAACTATTGCAAAAGGATCAATAAATGAAAAAATGGGATTAATACTATACAAGTGTACAAAAACATAAAAGTTATGCAAAAATGTGGATCTATAAACAATGCTTGCTTACACAAAATTAGTACTGTTGTGTTTAAATTTGATTCAGTTTTCATTTCCCCCCAATTTTTTTAAATGCTAATTAAAAGTTGAATATAATTTTTAAAAAAACAACAACAATTTTTTGGTGTTAAGACAAAAAATAAGTAGAGATATGAATAGCTTTATGAAAAAATTAATGGTTTATTATTCAGTGATTTGTCTAAAAAGATGTATAGAATTAGCTGTTATTTTTATCTTGATTGCTGTAAAAAAAATCAAAGCATTGATTTAATATATGTGCCTTTATCATGGAAAGGTACATATCCGAGTAAGTGAGCAATAAATTTCTGAAAAACAACATTAGATAGTGTCAATTGGTCAAAAAATAAGTTCAGAGTTGAAATTTTTTCGAGTGGCACCCATGCATTAATTGCTAGCAAAGCTTGTTGTAAATTAAAATTTCGATCATTTTCCTACAGAAAAAAAACGGGTACAAGATTTTTCGTCGGACTCAGAACAAGAACAGTGTAGCACATCACTTTCACAAGACACTTCTATTACCACCGATAACCAGCGTCTTTCGAAAGAGGATGCGGTTTAGGTGTGAATGGAAAATAAAATTGTTTTCTTTCTTTTTAGTTTGCTGGAAAAACATAGTTTGTAAATTTTTATGTTATTTTATTATGTCATCACAAATTTCGATTTTAAATCAAATGAACTTTAATAAAAATCCACACATTGTTGTACTTATTGAATACTTGATTCAAAAAAATATTTATGTCCTAAACTAAAAATTAAATTGAGCAAAAACAAATAGTCAAAACATGTCACTGCTCCAATATGTGATCTAATTTTGTAGTTAATTTTAGGATCAATGGTTGGCATAACTATATGGTAAAGTAAGGTTAACCGGGCAGTAGCGCTTAATATAAAAAATTCACCAGTATGTTGTTTCTAATGTCACTTGCCAATCCAGCAAGCCCGCTTAGTGAAACCAAGCGCATTTGAGGCAGAGGGCGCCATCTATGGCCAAGAAAATGATTTGAGCCATGCACGTTGAAAATGTTTTTTAATTTAACCACACACATTTAAATTGTTTCTTAAACAAAATGTTTTTGAAATGAAGCCATTAATTGATTCTAATATGCGTGAAAGTATGTTGTTATTGTATGCCATTAAAGCGAGGGGGGTGTCTCTTTGTTTTCCAGTTCCTTCATCGTCGACCAAGAATTCGACTTCTGCCACACACATGCGTCACAGTCCGTTTTACACGAAGGACCCATTCATACATCATAGATCGGAATTTAACCTGAACTAGAGTACGGTCAATCTCCAATTCAGTACTCCCAGGTGTATGATTTGTAATGGGAACATAGAGGGCTTTGTGACCCGCCAGATTTAACGCGCACCAGTCGCCATTTACTACACCAGGATTCTTCGACCGGAGGGGATCGAACTCACGACATCTTGGGTTTGGGCTCAACTCCCTGCCAATCAGGTTATAACGGCAGTGTAGGGTATACCGAGCAATAGCAATTAAAAGCCAAAAAATAATAAATCAACTATTAAAAAAATATATGTCCATTATACACAGGTAGAGCGCATATCAGGTTGATACTAAAAGCATTTCATTTTTTTATAATACTAATAATGAAAATACACTGTTAAAAAACAACACAAATTAATATGCAGAGCTATATCATTATCAATAATAGTCTAAGAATTTTATTTAAATCAAGGATTAAAATAAAATTCTTACATTCATTCTGAGAATTAAATAAAGCAGTACTCAGGAGTTCCAGTAATTCTTAAAATAATATGTGTAGAATTCTTGAGATAGTAAAAGAGTTTAATAAGTAATTTTTGGCTTTTCATTTAGGTATAAAAAATCTCGATAAATGGGATCTTTTTAAAAAAGTTAAATAACTTCTCTACTTTCCTTGGTTAAGTAGCATCAAAAGAAGCTTTTAAAAGGCAATTATAAAAGTGTGTGATTATATGTGTATGAAGGCCGTAGCCAGGATATTTTTTTGGGGGGAGGGGGATATGGTAAGAAGCAAGGACAGTTTCAGACATGCAAAGTAGGGGAAAAACATTGTAACAAATATTGTTTATTTTGTTGTTTGCAAAATTTAAACTAGTAATTAAAAAATATTACATAATAATTATAATCAATTTGTATACAAAGACATGTGACGGGGATTTGAAGAAAATTTTTCAATTACTTTTTTAGGACAAACCAGAATATCCCGAAATATGCTTAATAAAGTTAGCCCTGTTAGCCTTTCTTCTTTAATAGCATTTCCTGTTGCTGTTTTTACGCGTTTAAGAGTAGAAAAAGTTCTTTCTGCAGTTGCTGTGGTGATTGGCAACGTATAGCCAATATTGATAACAAGCAATAAATGTTTGGGGAAAAGATACTGTCACATTCTTCAATTGCTGAAAGTGCCGTATCTGGTCTACTAAGGGGTTCACGCAGGTTCCACTTTGATGCCCATACTTCCATTTCTCCCATGAGGTTTCCGATGTCAATGAAATCTGCGTAGATTCGGAAATTGCATAAATTAATATCAACGTTCACACAATACTTAGGTAACACTTAATTGAGAGATGCAAGAGTATCTTCGTGCTTCAAAAATCTTTCAATCAGTTGGGCAGCGAAATAATCTAAAAAAGGAATGTATATATTTTGACGGAAGTACTGCTCTGGGTCTGTGTTCTGATTTTTTATATTGCCTCGGTGATTTTGATAGGATGCCAATCTAGGAAGTTTTACATCTAGATCCAAACTTGTGAAAGTATTAGGGAGTTCCGAATATAGCTTTTGAAATTCATACTCGGCATTTTTTCTTTCGTTTAGAAGTGTGTTGTTTATTGATTTTACATGTATCAAAGCTCCATTCAAATCTAGATGAATTTGTTGGAGTGCTTTGCTCAGTGGGAGAGTCATAGAAAAAATATCTCTACAAACAAGTAAAGTAATGTAAAACTCACTTTTAGTGATAGTAGAAATAAGATTATCCGCTTCAGAGTAAGCTTCGCAGTTTCCAGAAGCCTTTACTTCTTCGAGAAGTTGAATTATTTCTGGATAAAGTTCTTCAAATCTAATGATTGCATCATGATTTTCTATTCATCTTGTTTCGCGAAAAGATATTATTTTTTTGAATTTTTCATTCGGCAAATTCGTTTTGATGATGTCTTCTAAAATTTTTGTTCTTTTGGCTGACGATTTGATAAATTTTGTTATTGTTTTAACTGTGCCAACACAGTTTCTAATAGCTTGAATACTACAAGAGTGACTAATTGCTAAATTCAAAGAGTGTGAGGAGCAATGTACATATATAGCTGTTGGGTGTAATTGTTTGATGGCTGCTTGAACACCGTTAAAGTCCCCTCGCATTGCAGATGCTCCGTCGTATCCTTGTCCGACAATTTTTGAAACATTAACTCCTAAATTTCTTAATGATTTTAAAATAACACCAGCTATTCCGCGTCCAGATGAGTCAAAAATTGGAACGAATTGGAGAAAGTCTTCTCTGACAATTGGCAAATCAATTCTAACATCGATGTACCTTGCACAAAGTGTCAACTGCTCAGTTTGAGTTATGCCCATAGTTTCGTCTGCAAGAATAGCAAAACAGCTTGTTTTATTGATTCTATCAACAATTGTCTCTTGGATAATGCTACCACAAATCTCTATTAATTCATTTTGGATGGATGGACTGATGTACATTGCATTACCACCACATTGGTTAATATGCTTTTTCAAAGTTTTTACTGAGAGGCTCAAAGGAAGACTAAAAAGTTTGAATCCCAGAATTTCGAGGGGGGGGGATTTGTCCTGATGGTCTCCCCCTGGCTACGGGCCTGATGTATATATATAAATACACTATTCATAAATCATTGGACACACTTAAACCAGAGTTTCGTTAGCCCAAATGTGAGCATTTTAGGATTTTTTATAATTTTTCACCGTCATTTATTTAACACCGATTCCATATTTAATTATTGGGCGTCCTATTTTCCGATAAATTTTCATTTTGCCTCAAATGCACTAAACAAAGTATGTGTAATGCTTACATTAGGTGATACTCGTTGCTATTTTTTTTAATGATTTTTGTACTTCTTCATTCATTTAAAACTAGTCTCTCTTTAAAATATGTTCATATTTTCCGAAAACTTCCAAATGAGTTTGGAAATATTTATAGATACTTTAAGAAAAAATAAATAAATAAAATAAAATCCTTTTGCCCAGAATATTAAAAATTTGAAATAAGGCTGGACACTCTATAAAGTTTTTAGGATTTTTTCCATTCCATTCATTTTAAACTGTTCTCATATAAAATATGGGCGTCATATTTAAAAAAAAAAATAATCTATTTTGCATAAAAATTATTTTAAAAACTGAAATAAAGTAAGTATTTAAATACAAACATAATTTATTTTGGGTTCATCGAAAAAATTTAATTATAGCTTCCTTAACTTTTGAAATCCTTTTAAGCATTTAATGTAATGAAAATTGTACAAATGATTAAAGATAGTTTCAAAATTTCAATTAAAGTAATTACGTCATTTTCAAGAGACGCATTCAGTTTACTACCGCAGAGGGGCGCTGTACGCGTTAAAACAAAAAGTGATTGTATTTTTATGCATTTCAAAAGAATTTTCTATGACTTTTTCGCAATTATTTTTGAGTAGAAACTCTTTAATACTTCTTTACGATTAATTTATTTGCTTAAAAAATTGAGTGTTGATACGTTTTTTTTTAAAACTTTTTATAAAATAATCATTATTACAGTACTATTTTTCAAATATTTAAAATACAATTGCAATGCATTTATGAATGCAAGATTTCTTATACGTTAACATAAGGTGTCAACAACCTTACTATACGAAGCAATATGCCACAAGTTATCCAACAAAGCTTGCAGAAAAATAAAGATTAAAAGATTATCTATTATTCTAACTGGCATCAGCTGTTTTATTCTCATGAAAAGTTATGTGAAAGATTATATACCTTAATTCACAGTTTCTTCTTATTAAAGCAAGGAGACAATAATAGGTATGTTTTTAAATTCTGATCCAAAAATTTTGAATCAATGAAAACTGTCTTAATGAATATTTGTTACTTATATTAATTAACATGGGTATTTAAAGCCCTAGCATGTTATGAAATAGCACTTCATAGAGTTTAGTTTGAGGATAAGCTATTTCCATAACTGTTGACTGAAGCAATAAATTCATGACTGTAATTTTTTTTTTCTTTAACTAACGGTCGCTTTGTTAATTATGCAAAATATCATTATAAAGAAAAATCGCTGTTGTTGGGAAAGAAAAAGAGTGCGTAGTTGATCTTTTTAATGTTATAAAAGTTACTACCAAGCAACATTTATAGGTACATAAAAATATGCAAACATTTAGAATTATTAATTTATTCTTTAGGTTTTCATTTAGGTAAAAAATTTCGCTTTACTGGCGTTATTTTTTTCTTTCTTAGTTTTAGTTCCTGGGAAATCGTTAGTTCCTTAAAATTCGATTTCTCAGAAAATACTTAACCGATTTCGCTCAAATTTTGCTATTTTCCACGTAAAATTACATACTTTAAAATGATGTGAAAAATTGTATACCTTACTGTTCAATGTGTTATTTTACTATTATTAAATAAAATAATAATAAATTGTTACTGAAATAAATTTTTTGCATGGAATTATCTTTGGGCAAACGAATTTTATTATTGTGTGCGAAATTTTTTCAATTTATTTACGAAATTCTTGAAGTAGGACGAAATTTTCAGAAAGTAAAATTAGCATTAAGGGGTTCAAACTTTGGATTGCTCTCCTGACCAAACTATGGGGACAATATTTCTCAGACAGCATCTACCCCCTATATTTTTGGGGTTAGAAATCCAAATCCGTTGGGGAAAAAAAGGCATGTTTAATCATAAAAAATAGGGGTTTGTATCTGATTTCGTAAGCATAAAAGGGAGTTATAGGAAAAATTAAATAAAATGCTATTAATTTTGACATATTGCTAACGAATTGACCGTAATAGTTATAAAATTTACCTAGAAGTAGAATGTTACTTCTTAAACAGAGAAATTATTACTTAAAGATCAACATTTTAAAGGACGGCAATCTATTTCGTCATATTTCACATAAATTCGTATAATATCACGTGATATCTATTTCAGTTTCAACAGGCTATCATGAAGACCTATACTTATTTGCTCATCTGCAGTGCTTTAATCTCAAGGTATGTTGATTTATATTTGTGAATTTCTCTTCTCTCAGACTTAAAGTTTAGTAAAGAAACAATTAAAAACATTTCTTTCTTAACAATTCACCTACAATATGGAATGAAAATGTTCACTTTGAAATAGGCATTGTTGCACAAATAAAATGATATTCAGAGGCTGAACTCACTAGATTAATTTTTATTACTCGGCACGTTTCTTTTTCGATGACTTGCAAAAATGGTTTCAAAAATTAGACACGGTAAACCCAAACAAACATTCGAGATCAAAATTTAAAATTATCATGCTATCACCGTAGTCAACTGATCACAGAAGACGTCTTATACTAGCAAAATCCATTGAGCTCATTAAAATAGAAAACGCAAAGAAAAAAAAAAAATTTTTTTTAAAAATATATTCCTTTAATAACAATATTTTGCGTTTTCGCGACTACGATTAAATACACTTCGAATTTAACTCCTTTGGCGATATTTTTTTCGCGTCTCTGGCTGAGTTTTGGCGCAGAAAGAATTGGCACATTTTATTTGATCTCATTATCAGCATCAGGCAGTGGCATCTTATCTTGTACGATTCGAATTCGGCATGTTAATGCAATATTGAATGTTGATACTCATTCATAATTCTATACTTTTAAAATACACCTAACAAAATAATAAAGACCTCTAAATTTTCATAAACATAATCTTTCATTTTTCTACAAGTTTTTCTAAATTGAAAAGTTCAAATTCTTATAAGTTAAGAACAGCTGAATGGTTAATTAGAAAATGGATAATCTCTAAGAACGCGTTAAGAAATATTATCCTTTATTCCATTAAAATTTATAATATCTATAAATCAGGTTGGGTAGTGGAGTAAAACCAGATATCTCTATTTTGGAGAAATTAGTTCCGTTTTCCATTAGTTCCAAACTTTTAAATTTCTCTTTAATAACCAAGAAGAACATTAGCTTGTTATTATTGTCTTATGCTACATTCAATGCTGACAAACCTATTTTAAAGCAAAGGGATGCGCCTCTTCCTGTTTTCCAGTGACGCCCTCTTTGGCCAAGAATTCGATTTCTACCACACATACGTCACAGCCCGTTTTACAGAGAGAAAAAATTCCCAAATCATCCATCAATCCATTCTCAGATCGTTATTTTGACCTGAACCAGAGCACGACCAATCTTTGATTCAGTACGCGGCACTGAATCAGATTCAATTTCCGTTGCTTGCCTTTGTACCATGACCACCAGAGTGCGTCTACGTTAAAAGTACCTATGTGAGCCGTGATCGCTCAGAAATATCATCAGTGGTAGACGGATCATGGGCTAGAGACCCCTTGCTGTCTGGCTAACCTGGGGAGGTTCTCGTGATTTTCCTCTCCATGCAAGGCAAATGCGGGTTAGTTCCATTAAAAAGTCCCCCAAGAAGGCAAATTTCTCCCACTACTTGATCCAGGAGTTCCCCCGTCAGCTGGATCGGTTTCAAAATTACAAGGACACGTAGTTGAACATTAGTAGTCGTAAACCCAAAAGTCGGGTAAGCTGTTTAACGACAGTAATGTGAAGAAACTTAGCTCGACTTTAATACTCCATTTTGTTTATAAGCAACTGGCGCAGGCGTCATTGGTTCACATGTGTGAGTATCCGTGATGTCCTTCTTCCTGAATTGCAAGTAACCAATTCTTTATTTTTCACTCCCTTCATAATATTAAATATTGTTCCTATGTAAGTTGTAAGCTAGCAATTAAAGTGACTAAATTTTTAAATATTAAATATTGTGTCCTACTTATTAATGAGTTTAATTCGAAATTCAAATAAATGTAACGAAACTCTATATGATCAATAACTTGTTATATGTTGTTGGAAAATAGTATTGAATCATTCTCAAAAAAGTTGAAAACATTTTAACGGAGCATGGAAGATAAATATATTACAAAGGAAAAACGAAAAAGGAGTCAAATCAGATACGTTCGCGATTTGTCATTTCAAAGTTATGTCCGTAAGGTTCTGCGTAATATGAATGAAGAGGCTAGCATATCCGCAACAGCTCAAGAGATAATGGATTCTGTGGTTTTAGACATGCTTGATAAACTTGGCAAAGAAACCAAGAATTTTATGGTAATTAATGGAAAACGCCTACTTATGCCATTTGATGTCCAATGCGCTGTCATTTCTGTACTAAATGGCGAAGTCAGAAGAAATGCAATTGCAAATGCTATTAGAGCTATAGTTGATTACAAGGCTCTTATAAGAGGCACTTAAATTATATGAAGCATCGAAACATTATTTAAAACATCAAGAACTGGAAATTATTAGAAAGGACATCATAATTTGAATAATAGAAGTTACTTTGATTAACATTTTAATAATCCAACTCAATTGTAATTAAAAAATTCGTGTTGATTTTACCCAGGAATGACAATTGTACAGTATTAATCACTAAAAATTTTGAGACTTTAACATGTGATGAAAATTACAGCCATCGGCAACTTTTTGTTTTGGTTTCATACTGTAACTAACTCTAGAAAGACGATTTGACCCATTCTGTGCAATACAGTTTTATTTCTAAAAATATATTTCATAATAAATATTAGTTTATCGTATTTTTTTTAATAATTAAAACATCACTTACACTAACTTATTTAATGAAGCTTGTATTATTTGTTATTCGAAACAGTTAAAGTAGTTTTCCCGGGTAAAATTCTGGAATAGCCCATCCATTGGCGACTTTTTGAAATCTTGCCAAGTTGGCGATTATTACTTGGATCGACGTTGTTTTTTTATTATTAAAAAACAATTTAAATTATTACAAACTTATTAAAATATTATTAATGAAATAAAATAAAAAATAACTTGCAATAAGTTTCCAACATATCTCCCCGAAATATCTTCCAGAAACCTAGTTTGGCGAGATTTCAAAAATTCTCCATGGGGTGGGCTATTCTAGGATCAATCTGTTTTCCCGTGTTGGATAATTTCAAAGGAAAGCCCGGGCCCACCCTGGCAGTCGGATGAAATAATTTAGCACTATTAACATACATATATAACTTTTTTTTCCCTTAAAAAAGCTGAGAAATTAATTAGCGTTGTGAATAATAAATATACCCTTAGCTAGTTTTACCAATCGAAGGTTTTTATCAGTCATAGGGGCCATGATGCCAAGTTCGCCAACACGTATGAAAAACGCTTGATTCCAGTTTATACGGGTCAGCAGCTACTGACAATGCAGGTAGATGTATCGAGCATGACAATATCACGATTATTAACCATAAAAATCAATATCGAATGCAGTTACATCGTGATTATTATTGATAACCATAATTATCGAAAACCATAATATCGCTATATTTATCCATTACGTTACGCATCGAAAAGATAATATCGCGAATATCATACGTCATGCGTATTACTGAATGCGATATTATTGTGAGTGTCGATCAATTTTGTTTGGGTGATCAAAATATTGACTAATGTAAAAATAATACTAATTAGTTAAATTGGAAATATATTGTGATTTGTCGTTAAATATTGATATTTTAGACAATAAATTGCTATATTAAAATTAGTATTTATCGATTATAGGATACAGTGTTCATGGTGGCGATATTTCACAAAAGCAGTCACCAACACGTGGTCCCTCGATGAGTACCCAAACCGATATTAAATGTTGTTGTTGTAGGCTATTAAAGCATTGGGTATGCGATTGTTCTTGTTTACCAGTAGTGCCATCTCTGGCAAAAAAATTCGTCTTCTGCCACACCCGTTTATATGGTGGACCCATTCATACATCCAAACAATATATAAACAAAATTCTGCAGGATTAACGATCTTTTATGATGCGAAGTGAGTCATATAGATGAATTATCCTTGTTTTTAATTAGGATACTTAAACTATCTCGCCAAAGCGTCATCTTAATTTATGGACATACATGATGGCGGTGTTGCATTTTGGAGAAATAGTAGGAGTTACCAAGTAATAAACATTGTAATTATCTATACATAAGTATTTCGTGTAACTTGCAATCTGCACAACAAAACAAGTCTATAAATATAAACAACTTGTTTATTATGTGGTAACATCTGCAATTTATTCAGCCAGTTAACGGTAGATGCACCACCATGATCAAAGTCCTGGACACGTAGGAAGCCTGTGTCAATAAATTACACTGAGGAAAAAAAATTTCTGTTGTTTGAGATATTTTAAGCAGATCTCATATATTTTTGTATCAATAATTTCAAATATTTTTTAATAGCATTTTTTATTCTACTTTCTGTCGAAATGAACAAGTTTAAAAACGTTACAGGGGTCGCATAAATATTACAACAAACTTCTAGATGATTTCAAAACGTCTAGGGAAAACGTCATCAGGATTAAAATTTTATAGTAGCCCAAGCTCACAAATATCGCCATACCCAGCTAGAGGCGCTTTTTCTATTACTGTTTTTTCTTGTGCCTCTGAACATGTCATAATATCTAAGAGCCCCTAGCTGCTTACGATGACATATCTCCGGCCATGGACCCCTATGCAGTATCTATTTTGATGATGAGGCCTAACTCACCTAAACGTTTGTTGCAATATTTACACGCACCCCCCCCCCCGTTATTGACAATTTTTGTTTAACTTGTACATTTTGACAAAAAAATAGACAGTAATGTCATTAAAAAAAAAAAATCTGTAGTTTTAGGAGCGAAACTAATTTCAGATTTGAAATCCTTTACACCCGAATCGGGCAATATCAAGTATTTTTTAAAATGCAACAAAACGCAATGTAAAATTATTCTTGAAACTTGGTTAGATATTTTTTGTTTACAGCATTTAGAGAACAATTGTAATTTTCAATATCAATAAACGCTGAACTTTACTTAAAATTTGAGCTCACTAAATAAACCAAAAAAATTATCTAAATTTCAATTCACAATTTAGTGTATTTATTGATAAAGTTTGCTTGTAGCTTTTTTGACTAGATTTGAACTTTTATTGTCCTCCGTAGAAAAGGACACCAAGTAGAATTTACATGCTCTAAATCATCGGCTCTTAAATCTTTTTGACTATGGAATCCTAAATGATCAAGCTTCTCTCGCAACCCGGATTTTATGTATGAAAAGAAAGCCGTGGTGGTGTAGAGGATAGTGTGCTCGCCTCCCAATGAGGAGAACCGGGTTTGAATCCCAAGCCGATCGATAGAAATTCCGCACCTTGTTCGCGCCGACCACCGTGCTGACGTAAAATATCCTCTGACGGATTATGGATTAGAGTCCCCATGGAGTCAGGCTAAACGTGAGAGGTTTTCATCTCCAAATGCGGGATAGTTCCATGAAAAAGTCCTCTACGAAGGCAAATTTCTCCCTATACTTGATCCAGGAGTTCCCTTTGTCTTCTGGTTTGGATTCAAAATTACATTTCTACGGAGTTGAACATGCATAGTCGGTCGTAAACACAAAATTGGGTCGGCTGTTCAGCGATGGTTAAAAAAAAATAGTATCTCCGTGAATATACTAACCAAAGAAAAACTATTGATTAATTTGTAAATATTTAAGGTGAGGAATGAAATGTTTTAAATTTTAAATTTGTTCTTGGTTTATTACATTTACCTTGAAAAAGAGTAAAATAAGCTGAATTACTGTTTTCACTATTCTAAATGTCGAGAATAGCTTACAAAGAAACTTTCTTCATTCTTGAATTTTTTTTTTTTTTATATTTTGATTTGGAAAGTTCGACTAACAATACATATAAATTTTTTTAAAAATGAATATTGTTCTTATAATTTATTCAATAAATTATTATAGAAAAAAAAATTTTTTTTAATTTTTCTTCTCCTTTTTTTGGCCTTTAACACAAACAATTTCATTTAAACAGTCGAAATATTAAACAAATTAAGGATTATTTATTGGATGTAAATAAAATTATGACTGGTTAAAAACTGTCCTAGATCTCGGAGCCCCTGCGAACTTTTTAACCCTAGGGTTCCGTGGAACACCATTTGGGAACCGTTGCTCTAATTATTCGAAGAAAAAAAAGAGTCGGAATTTTGAATGACGATAAATTTCTTTTTACGTCAAAATTCAATAAATTATGCTTGTTAATCATGTTTGTCCGAAAATGATTAAAGCCTCCATTATCATCAGGCAAACAACAGCAGTAGAGATTTGTGTGCTCTTGTTCGAAAATTCGTTTTCAAGATTCTATCAGTAGGAAAGAAAGTTTATAAGTTGAACGCTGCATAATATTAAGTCTTTAACAAAACTTTAATAACTGAACTGGGTTGATTTGGAAACATATTTTTACAACATTTTTCTAATTTCCATATTATATTATGCAATTGGACTTTCGGCAACTTTAATATGGAACTATAGAATCGAACTTGTGTTAACTTAATTATTTGGTACTATCTTTCAACTTGAACAGAAACATACGCAACCACTGTCTTTAACCTACGTGTATCATTTTGCAGCTGCTTGACGTTGGATTGTCCTGATTGTGATAAGAGCCTCTGCAAAGAGGTGGAACCTTGCCGACATGGAACTACGACTGATGTCTGTGGATGCTGTCCAGCCTGTTATAAAGTAAGTTTCCCTTTACTATAAGTACACTGTATAATTTTTTTTTCTTGTGGAATTACGACTGATGTCTGTGGATGCTGTCCAACCAGCTATAAAGTAAGTTTCACTTTACTATAAGTACACTGTAAAAAAATTTTGTGGAACTACGACTGATGTCTGCGGATGCTGTCCAGCCTGTTATAAAGTAAACTTCACTTTACTATAAGTACACTGGGAAAAAATTTTGTGTATAGTTGGCACCATTTATTTCTTGAGGTAAACTAAATACATTTTTGAGTACAGAACTGCCGTTATCTTGCAAAGGATTATTAAAAATTGACAAAATAACGTTTCGAAAGAATAAGTGCAAACATAATATTAAAAATGTGATTGTTTTTTTAAGTGAATTGTTTTTGCATTGTAACTATAAATCGATTCTAATGTGCATGAAAATTTGTATTGTCAGTAAACAAACAAGCAAAAATGGACAAATAAATCTATAATAGTGACAAAGTTAATAAAAATGTGACTACATGTACTGTAAAAAATTTTAGTTCATCTCAACACCAAAAAAGGTGGCAGCTAAACACCAAAATTTTTACAGTGCAATAAGAGTACCATTACTTTTAAACCTACAAAGAAATAAACCACTAGACTCACCCAATTTTTCTGTCTACTTTATAACCACGTGCATCATTGTTTTTTTTTTTTTTTTTTAATTAAGAATAATTTTCTTTTCTTGTAGTCATCAGTAATACACTGTAAAAAATTCTGGTCTGTTGCTACCCCCATTCTTAATGTTATTGAAACTAAAACTTTTTAAATGGCTTGTAGTTACACTTTTTATTTGCTTTTTCACTCTTATAGTTTGATTTATTTATTTATGTATTACTTTTTTGTTTACTAACGACACATATTTCTATGCATCAATTTACGACTTAAATTTATGGCTTATTTAGCATCAATCTATGGCTTCATTACTAAAGCATTTTGTTTATAAAACAAGTAAATTTTTAGTAATATATTTGCGCTATTTTTTCGAGAAATTTTTTTGTCAATTTTGTATAATTTTTTCAATTTACAGTTCTGTGTTTGTTGACGTATGCCTGTTTAGGCAGAGTGGGTGCAATTGCTCTTGTTTTTCAGTGGCGCCATCTGTGGTCAAGAATTCGACTTCTGTCACACCATACGTCGCACTCGTTTATAGGGCGAACCCATTCATACATCCGTTCATCCACAGATCGGAATTTTGACCTGAATCAGAGAACGATCGATCTCCAATCCAGTACCCCCAGAGGTATTGATTTGTTATGGGAACATGGAGAACTTTTGCGACTCGACAGATTTAACGTGCATCAGTTACTTTAATACAAGGGGAGTCTTCGGTCGGCGGGGTTCGAACCCACGAACTCTCGGACATGGGCCCAGCGCCCTACCGACCAGGCTATCCCGGCCTCAGTTCTGTGTTTAAAAATGTATTTAGATTGCCTCTACGAAAAACTTGATAGCAACTGTACACAAAATGTTTTTACAGTGTACTTTTCAAGAATTCAATTTGAATAGATGTTGATAACACACGCAGTAAAAAAGCTTTACAATAACAAATAATAAAAAAACTTTAAAGAGTCTTTTTAAATTTTGGAAAGTCTTATATATTATTCATAACTCTTATTTAAATATATTATGTCTTGACGAAAGTTGCAGAAAACTAGAATCTGACAATTTTTTCGAATATTTTAGTTTCAGGCTAGCACCTTGTCAGAGAAATTATGATAAATGCGCAGCTGCTCATGAAAACATTCTCATAGTTTCTGGAAAATGATCAATGTTGCGAGACTACAACATTCTAAATAAATTCTTACTTTCTTTTTACTAAGAGGTTGAAGAAGTTCAACTCTTATCTGTAGTTATCTAATACAACAAGTGCTATTTCAGAATCATTACGGAAAAATGCTAAAATTGCACTTTGCACAATTATGCTTGTAAATGAAAGTGACACTTATTTAAAAAAATCTCGTTCATTGGAGGTATATATTAAATATAACAATGTGATATAACACAAGGAAGGGCACAAAATAAGGAAAATATATATTCTCGTCATCAGCACACACGATTACATCCACAAAAGAGAGTGCTTTCTAATTTTGTATTAATATAGTCAAAGCAATATATCTTAATATAATTGTCATCCATAAATAAATCCATTACATATAGTGTTATTAATAATAATAATAGTATTATATGTTATGGATTTTATTCATGTTTGTATAATATGTATAAAAGTATAATAATCCCTCCTTTATAGCATAATACTCAAAATAATTTTTTTAAAAAGTTTTTCAAAAATTTAAATATTTTTTAAGAATATTTAATTTTTTCTTCTCTTTAAAATTATGTCTCTTCCTGTATTTTTCTTGTTTCTTTCGTATTTTCAACTTATTTTATCGCTTCTATGCTTATGCTCAGTAAATAAAACTTATTATTTTTTCTTATTTTTCTTTGTTTATCTCTCCTTTTGTTTAATTCTATTTTGTTTAACAATATGATGTAATGTTAAAATAATGCAATGTTATGTTTAAATGATGCAATGCTATGTTACTACTAATAATACTTATATAATGCGTTATAAAAATTATACTTTCTTACGTAATACTATGACATTTGATATAATAGTATAATACTCCCAAAATTATAATATACTTGACTCACGCATTCATAACAAAGTAATGAAATATTTATAATATAATGGAATAATACTCACAAAATTATATTATTCTAGACTCACGCATTCATAACAAAGTAATGAAATATTCATAATATAATGGAATAATACTTACAAAATTATAATATTCTTGACTCACGCATTCATAACAAAAGTAATGAAATATTCATAATATAATGAAATAATACTCACAAAGTTAGAAATTTCCTGACTCATTCATTCATGTGTAATAATATAATATTCGAAACATTCATATTTTCAAGATGAAACATAATGTGTAATATAAAAATGTAATACTCATAATGCTATGATGTATATTGCTATGTGATGTATATTCATGACAAGTAATAATATGAGGCAACATTAGGGCAATAACTATATTACGATTATATCATTCATGCGTGTATAATACTTATAAAAATATAGTACTCACACGCCAAGATGTGATATAATACAGATGTGTTATACAACTCAAAGCATTCTTACTTATAACATTCATTCATTACATCCATATTATAATATTCATAACGTTTGCTGCAACAATGCTGATAACCTTTTTTTCTTACAGGGTATAGGAGAAGAATGTGGTGGTCCATGGAATGTGAAAGGCGTGTGCGCTGGCCACCTATCCTGTATTCGAAATCCAAGTAAAAACGAAAAATTGAATCCAATCGAAGAATTCAACAGAACTGGAAAATGCCTAGCGTTACCTTAAAATTCTTAATAAGGAATGTTTACTTGTAGACTTCAATAAATACTCAGCGTTTTGAATGCTTCAGTTCATTAACTTATTGAACATCAGACAAATTCTGATAATAAGAGTGTCTTTTACTAACTTTTGTCTCCATGATTAGACCATCTTCAATCGCGTCTGCTAGAGCTAAACTAGATCAATCAAATATGTAGTTGGATTAGTCTTTACGAATAACTGAGTTTAAACAACTGATAGACCATTCTAATTTGTTATTCTCTATTAACCTTAAAAATACGAAGAAAAAAAATTATAGCAAAAAAAAACCATATTTCCGTGGCAAAAATATTTTTGATTAAAAAATAGAAAGAGAGAATTTTAGAAGTTAACTCCAAAACTTTATATCGTTTTAAAATCGTATTTGATAATAGTTCTGTTCGTTATGGCAACAGTTAATCAGAAATTCTGATCGTAAGAATTATAATTCTTATTGCCCGCACATTTAGTAAAAATTCCACTGTGAAAAGAAAATTTAATAGAAAAGTGCCATTCTCTGAAGAACCACGATGAAATTGCGAGACTATTATCTAGATGATATCATTCAGTTTACCATATGCATACTTGGTAATTTTAAGATTTTATTGACAATGCCTTTTACCAAATAGAATGGTAGTAGAGTTATAATCTGTTTACCATGCTTTCTGGTTCATTTCCTTGAAAGTATTGTAACCATAAATTATTTAAAAAAATAAATATAATACTTTTCATTCATTTTGGCTTAAATGTATACAAATAATGAAAAATATGTTTAATAAAGATTCTAAGTCAAAGTATTAAAGCCTGCAAAAAAGTGAGTACCGGTAAAACTAGAGTAAATCATAAAGTTTCAAATTTTGAGGAAAAAAATTTTTTTTTACATAAAATTATGGCATGATTAATTATTATGATTAATATGGCAATACTACATAAACATAATGAAATAATGTCTTAATTTGTTTGCATTTTGATATTTTTAATTTTTTTCTGCATTTGAAAATTATTGATTTATTCTAGGTTTACCTTAACTCATTTTTTTTCTATACTTTAAATTTTTAATTACTTATCGAGGTGAAACAAAATCTACCATGAATGGATTCTCCCGTGGTATCCCTTGTTAGAGCTAGTGCCTTGTGATTAGGAATTACCAACGCAAGGGGTAATTTTTAGCCTGGATCCTGAAAATTTTCCGTAAATTTAAATTTGTCCGTCCAGAAAGGATGTGCGTAAATAACAAATTTTTGTCAAAGGTTTACCATTACGTATTGTTAAAAAACGAACTATTTTTTTAACGAATTATTTAAAAGAGTAGAAGGATCAGCTATCCAAACCCCGAATTTGTTTCTCATTCGTTATTGTTCATTTCATCTTAAACGTAAATATTTTCCACAAAAACATCGATCATTTTAGTTTTATAATATACAATTATTGTAGCTTTTTGGTAGAACATTTTGTTAATGTGTTAATCTTAACGAAATAAACGTTTACCTAGATTCGAAAAGTAATCATCGTTACTTGAAAAAAAAATTAGCCTAATGAATACAGATAGTGAGGTCCAATTGTTGTTGTTGTAGTTCATTTACGTCGCCCTAGAGCTGCACAATGGGCTATTGGCGACGGTCTGGGAAACATCTCTGAGGATGATCCAAAGACATGCCATCACAATTTTGATCCTCTGCAGAGGGGATGGCACCCCCGCTTCGGTAGTCCAACGACCTGCACGCGAAGTCGAGCACTTTAAGGTAGCACAGTTTAACGAGGACCAATACCGCACACCCTCGGTCCTTACGCAGACTGATCCAAGTGGTCACCCACTCGCACACTGACCGCAGCCAGTGATGCTTGACTTCGGTGATCTGCTGGGAACCGTGTCTTAGCAATCAGTTCACTGCGGGACCATGTGAGGTCCAATGAGAATAATTAAATGCGAAATAATTTAAAACGTCAGAGAAACTTAAATGAATTCAAAGAGGGAACGGTTTTTATATTTATCCAGTTTTTTTATTTCATTTTTAAAAATTATATTACGAATGCTAAGGTTTATATCTCGCAACATGCAATCTCTCTCATTCTACCTCTCCCTTGTTACTTTAGATTGAAAAAATGCCACGTTTCAACAACCAATCAGGATCGTGATACCCACTCTACGTCACTTGCAGGTATCCCATTGAAACAAAAACATGTCATATTGTTGGTTGAGTGCACTCTTTTAAATAATTGATTATAATTAATAAAAATTATATTAAATAATTCTTTCTGTTCTTGTGGTAAGCCCAAAATCGAAAACATTCCGAGATCATGTGTTTATTTTCCTCGCTTTTGAAGTGTATATCTACAAACATGAAAATTGTAGAGTAAACGATAATAGAAATAAAAGAATACGTTATGCGCTTAAGTGTTAATGCATCTAAAAAATTACTTGATTATAGTTAATCTTGACTATCGTATTAGCAACAATCAATACCATCAGTTTTGATGCCAAACAATACTGAGAATATTAGTTTTTTTCATATGAGTTAAACTATTTTTCGTAATCATGCAATGGTGAGCCGCGGTGGCTCGAGGAATATGGTATTCCCCACCCAATGAGGTGACCCAGTTTCGAATCCCAGCGATGGTTTGTCAATAAAAATTACGCAACCGGCCACACCAATCACAATAGAGACGTAAAGTATCCTCAATGGTAGATAGACCATGGGTTAGAATTCCCTTGCTGTCGAGCTAAACGTGGGAGGGTTCTGTGGTTTTCTTCACCATGTAACACAAATGCTGGCTAGTTCCATCAAAACGTCCTCCACGAAGGCAAATTTCTTCCAATTCTTTATCCAGGAGTTCCCATGTCTTCTTGGTTGGACTTAAAACAGCATATTTTTATAATTTTATATACCGTCGTTGAAGAGCTGATCCAATTTTTGGGTTTACGACTAATAATGTTCAACTATGTAGCCTTTTAATTTTGAACCCAATCCAGAAGACAAGGGAACTGCTGGACCAAGTATTGGAAGAAATTTGCCTTCGTGGAAGACTTTTTGATGGAACTAAACCACATTTGCGTTACATGGAGAGAAAGACCACGAGAACCTCCCACGGTTAGCCTGATGACTAGGGGACTCTAACCAATGATCCCAACCACTGAGAATATTTCACGTCAGCTCTGTGGCCGGGGAAAGCCGGATGCGAAGCCCTCGCTGTGGTTCGAACTCAGTTCACCTCATTGGAAGGCGAACTCTTTATCCCCATAGCCTTTGCGGCTTAAAAATTACATAATTGAACATTAAAAAAAACACATTAAACGTGAAATTACTCAAAAATTTCAAAAAAATTAAAAAAATTTGTTTGTTTTTTTGTGTACAGAATTGCTGAAAAAATATAATCAAAAGAGCAGCAAAAATTAAAAGCAACGGTGGTACTAGATAAATGCAACGGCAAACTAGATAAATGCAACGGTGGTAGAAAATGTCTAGCAAAAAATTCCTTTCATATTTCATTATCCTCAAAAGGTAATTCAAACTATTTGACCTACTTGAAAAGAATATTAAATAAAAATAAATAAATAGTTAGCTTGGAAGAACGCTACGCCTATTATGCACACATAGTACAAATTTCCGGACATTTAAGATTAAAATAAGCATAGGTTTCAGATTCTGAGTGGTTAAAAATATTATCAGCTTTAAAAGATAAGTTTCTCTTGTTTTTATCTATCCCGTACTTCGTCAGAAATGTTTTCTACATTTATCGACATGGAACTTTTTTTATAAATATTGTTTTGAATTCAATGCTGGATAGATTTTTTTAAAGACATCGTGGTAAGCTGCCTTTTTTTGATGCAATATTTTGTTATTTCTATGTGATTTTTGAAAGATTGCTATTTGACGATTTCTTCCGCGATATTTAAAAAAATGTAGGAAAAAAGAGGTATCGTTACTAGTTCCGCTTTCAAAGATAATGATATGCTAGCATATATATATATATATAT